TACACTACCACAAACAACATGTTTAAATTTCAGACATTTTTATTGCCTTTTGGCATATTTCTATAGTTTATTTTGTTTTGTTGAATTTTTCTAGAAAATATAAGTTTGAACTGCAGGTGTATCGAATAATGGATTACATTCGTTCAAAAAATGTTATCCTTGTTTCTTAGTGTAAATTTAGGCTAAATCTAGGAACTGCCTCGAAATTTCGATCAACGTGCTCACGGGGCAACGCCGCCAACTTGCGTGGGAGTGGTTTTTTAATTGTATAAAATGCGAACGAATTCTGAAAATCATGAAACTGTCGAGTTGTCGCCATATCGTATGCGTATGCCGTGGAAAAAATTTGACAAGTGGAGACGTCCTGGTTTGTGAGCATCGTACATGACAACGTGGTCAAAACTTTTTCAAAATTTTTTCACAGCATACCCATACGATATGGCGACAACTCGACAAGTTTCATGATTTTCGGAATTCATTCGCATTTTATACAATTAAAAAACCACTCCCACGCAAGTTGGCGGCGTTGCCCCGTGAGCACGTTGATCGAAATTTCGAGGCAGTTCCTAGATTTAGCCTAAATTTACACTAAGAAACAAGGATAACATTTTTTGAACGAATGTAATCCATTATTCGATACACCTGCAGTTCAAACTTATATTTTCTAGAAAAATTCAACAAAACAAAATAAACTATAGAAATATGCCAAAAGGCAATAAAAATGTCTGAAATTTAAACATGTTGTTTGTGGTAGTGTACTAAAGCTTCAAAAAAAATGGTGGTAAAAAACCAAAAAAAATATTTGTCGAGTGTCAAATGGGGGGCACTCGGCAAAGAGGACGCCGCTGGATGCCGTTAGGCCCCTACCAATCTTTGCCGAGTGTCTGCCTTTGTCGAGTGCCATATTTTGCCGAGTGCGGCGCTCGGCAAAGCAGGTCTTTGCCGAGTGCCCGAAATTTGGCATTCGGCAAAGATTTTTGCACTCGGCAAATCATGTGTTTCCCGTAGTGCATGGCATACTGCGTCCGTGTTGACTCGTTGATACTGTCTTGCTGAAAGTATCTACCGGAGCTCTTACAAAATTGAGGACTTTCGTCCCAGTGGAGAAACCAGATCTCTCTGTGCTTTTTCTTCCTACATTTCGCTATGGGATCCCTGGAAAATGATTCGGCATGCACGTGGTCTAGTCTATGTCAAGTGACAACCCAACAGCAGAGACTTATAGACTTTTGTCTAAACCTCACAAATGGTTAGATGTTCACACAGACAGTCTGCGAGTATACAGTTTTTATTAATGAACAAAACAGTAGAGCTGGCGATTATATTAATAAAGAAGAAGATCCAGACCGGGCAAACAACGGTACCACAAAAAACAACTTAGCCAACAACAATTCACTGACAACACGAGCAAACAACAACATAAACAACCACATCTACATCGAACCCCTATGACCTATTACGAAGAGGCGGCACATCAAACGCTGAACCCCTATGACCCATTACGAAGAGGCAAAGAGACCTCCACCACAAGGTCCCAGAAGGCATGACCTTTTTAACTCATCAATGATTTAAGGAGGTTAGGCGGCAACAGTTCCTTCAAGCAGTCTACAATGTCTTGCATTGCGTCGTCATCGAGCTTCTCATCCTTCCCAACAATAATGCCCAAATCTTTTAACACGTTGCACTATGCAAGCCGATCACTTCAACGAAGCGATGACCTACCATAGGACTTACGTCGGTGTCTTGCTGTCATGGCAGGTGGTGAAGGGGAATGTATAGGAGGACATACCACGTCCATCTCCTTCCTAGTTGTGACAGACAGAGAATATGTTGCCTTTATCAGTGGATCCTCTGTCAGGGCACTTTTGCTTTGACCTCGGTCATAGATTGAGTAATGGTGTTTTCGATGGTGATGAGAAAGATGGGGTCCTCAATTGTCACTTGTGAGATAGTTTCCTCATCATCGGATGTGACTTCAACTAGAACAATATTCTCAATTAGAGTGACTGCATCTAGCGACGCTCGCTCTATTACTTGAATAGTGGAGGTCTCTGAGGGCACCGCAATGGCTTGCTCTATTGTCTTCTCACTGGTGAAGGAATCTACACCGATTGCACATGTGTCCTCACACACCAAGGACTATGTGGGCATGCAAGCGTCTGCAAGAGAAACGAGGATTGACGGTGTCGGAGAGTGCCAAATGGGAGAACAGGGGTCGAAGAGCTCTGCCATGTTGGAAGTGAAGTATGCTCTCCAGGTGGCTCTACATAGGGACCAAATAGGCTGGACACATCAACAGAGGGATCCTTACTTGGTAGCTCCACATGCTTCAGGTGTGTGGCCACATGTGCTAGCCACAACTTGATAGCAGAAACCTCATCACTGAGGGGCCGCACCAGCTCGTCCAAATGGGTGATGATCTATTGTTGAAGCTCTAAGTGCAATGACTCCAGCAGAGGTGCAAGCATGGATTGGAGAACAAAGATAGCTGAAGCTTGAGGTGCATGATCATCATAGTCATGTACATTCTTCCCCCGTGAAGGAGAATGGTTTTGTGGAGACGATGGTCGAGTGCGGAGCTGACTTGATGAGGATGCAACCACAACATCCATCCAACTCCGAGCTAGTTGGGGGTGGCGAAGATTGGCAGTTGGTGAGGGTGGGCGCGTGGTAGGGGAGGGGAATTGATGGGGCCAATGTCATTCCTGATGTCCAGGTCGATGACAACAAATGCAGCAAAATGAATCCTGACATGAGCTAACTAGATGGTCACGAGCAAGACAACGATACCATCTGCCACAAACCCACTGCTTCAAGGCAAGTCTACTCTCGGACTTTCAGAATGATTGTGGAAGGTGACGACTACTCGAAGCAACGCACAGGTTGTAAGTGACCCTTAGACCCACCTTTAGTTGTCATGACTGACTTGACCCCAATAGATGCATTGGTCGACATAGGTGGAGGCCTCATAGCCTCGAATCACATAGCAGCTAAAAGACGTAGTTGGTAGTGAAGATCGCCGACAAACAAGAGCAACTCCTAGATAGTAGAGCTGCAACCGACGATAGCCTAAGATGGTGGAGATTCGATAGTGGAGGTAGTCAAGGTTAGCGGGTACTAGAGATGAGGTTGTGTTGACGACGGTGAGGCCAACCGCCGCCAATGGCGGCGACAACCAAGACGAGGCTCAAAACAACCCTACATGAAGAAGGGTTCTTTTCTAGCTCAATCAAGGTCGAGAAAAGCAAATCCTATGGAGACTCCTTGACGACTTGGGCAGTGGGTGGGGGCGCTGCCTAGAACAGCAGCGTCGAAATCCAAAGTTGAACACCCCCATAGATACAGTACACTAGCAACACCCAAACTCAATACAACAAATTGTGGCAAATGATGAATGATTGTGGCCCAAGATGATGGATTCATTGATCAAGGAGGCACGAGATGTTGCGAATGTGGCAATGATCTCTGGCCAAACATGAGGCTTGGTTAGCTTGGTGGGCGACCCTACCATAGTGGATGGTGGCATGGAGCCTGCCCGCTGCATGAATGTGATCATCCGGCTGGAGGAGAGGATCGACATGGAGGTGATCGGAGTTGACTCGGGGTAGCCCTGGTGTGGTGGATTCTCATCGTCGGTAGCTGGGCATATGGTAGGAGGGTAGTCTTCCAGGGCTTCTTCACGCAACCATGTGTTGAGGCGAATTACGGTCATCACACCGATAAGGAGCTAGATCGCTTGTGTAACGTCCCAGAGTCCAAATGGCTCAGATCCACTTTGCACACTAAGTGAACCACACCTACCACCATCCCACTTACGCTTTCGTCCTCGCTTCTCATAAAAGAATTAACCTAGGGATGGTGAGAATGACTCTAGAAGCCTTATATGTTGGTATATCCCACCTTTAACAACTAAGGTGGGACTAAACTCTCCACAATATCTCATTAACATGCACATAGACCACTATGAGTTAAATTCCAAACTGGGCTAGATGTCACAGCTTGGTATAGGTGGGCTAAAGATTAGCCTAGCTAACTTTAGGTTGGTCGTCGCCTACAGTGTGTTCACAGATGATCACTTGACCTGGTGCCTCCAGCGATGAGCACAATACGTAAGACACGTCGTCGAAGAAGCCTCGTTGGGAGCGCGATACACAAGACACGCTGACTAGGTCTCTCTTGAAACCCAAGACTCCACACGCCTAGGAGGGACCCCATCGGGGCGTGCGGCAGTGAAGGTCTGCCCAAGCCAACTTGACCGCTCTAAAGCTTCATCTTCGTTGATCCACTGACCATGCGGTAGGAACGAAGAATGAGGAAACAGTAGTAGATGAGAAGGAGAGGGTAAAAGGGTTGAGTATTAGATGTGTTTTGATGATTGTGTAGTTGGATTATCTCAATCGGACAATGATCCTCTAATATATATAGAGGGGGTGGTCTTATCCCAGTAGAGAACATCTCCCAACGAAATCTACAAGTTTGGAATATGAGCAATGTCCGTGAGCAAAAACATTGCCTAACTATGCAAACATATGATTCTTTCAAAATGAAACCAAATTTGCTTGTGAAAGACATGTATTCTCGTTTAAATCTAATTGTCAATGATCTCAATTCTATAGGTTTGACAAATTTAGAAGATGAGGAAGATCATCTTTGTAATTGAACCAAAATGATGTAATTGTATTATATTTTGTTTGAGTTATGGGAAAAAACTATTATATTATATTATATAATATATAAATATATTAATATATCATTTATATTGATGATTCTAAAAAATATTGTACTTATGTTCATCTTATTTATGCTTGATTTGTTTTGTATCAAGAAGCAACACAATGGTATTGCATGAATCCATATTTATGCTTGTTCATAGCTATATACAAGCATTAAACAATTTACAGAGTTAAATAGACAACTCATTATACAAGTTGTTTGTTCTCTATGTATAAAATGGAAAAAAACTTTGGGTTGTACATGTCCTAACAAGAACAACCACTTTATCACCTAGGCCCTGATAAATGTGACTCAGAGGGCACATAGGAAGACCTTGATTCGGCTACCCCGATGTTGCTTGATGCAAAATTTGGAACAAAAGTGCAGTCAGGTGTGGCATCTAAGCTCTTCACACCTTCCAACACCTTGGCGACTGTGGACATCAAGGGCCTTGCGCTGCTATCAACCTGCAAGCACCACATTGCAAGCTTCATTGTTTGCATGACCTCCTCCATGTGGGATTTCATATCATTGCTGCTACTGTCCACCAAATCAGACAGCTGACCCGACCTAGCCTTCTATTGAAGCAGGCTTATCAAGTGAATGCTCCCCTCAGGCTGCGATTCATCCAAATTCTCTTGGCCACAAATGATTTCGATCATCACAATCCCAAAGCTGTAGATGTCAGCCTTCTCAGTGATTTTTGAGCCCAGCCATTCTGGTGCTAGATAACCACGCATTCCTCGCATTCGAGTCATCACTTTGCTCTGGTCCCTGTTTATCATCTTCGAAAGTCCGAAATCTGAGAGCTTTGCATTGAATTCATCATCCAGGAGAATGTTTTGTGGCTTGATGTCTAAATGTGCAATCTTTTCCTTGCATTCTTCATGGAGGAAAGCCAACCCCCTAGCAACAGCAATGATGATGTTACGTCTAGTTCTCCAAGAAAGAGTGAAAATTGGGCTTGTGTGAAAAAATCCATTTATCCAGTGAGCCGTTTGACAAGTACCCATAGACAAGGAGTTTATGTGATTTCTCAGCACAAAATCCCACTAACCTAACAAGGTTACGGTGATGCATTCTACCAATCGTCTTGACGTCTGCCAAGAACTCTTCTGTTCCTTGCTCGACACCCTCCAAGCGCTTGACAGCAATGGTTTCCTTGCCTATCCTGCCTTTAAAGACCGACCCAAAACCACCATGTCCCAACTTCATGGAAAACTTGCTGGTAGCTACCTTCAACTCATCGAAGGAGAAACACTTTGGTGTCCCAAGTATGACATCAAAGAGAAGTCCCTCATCTTTCTTGCGCCTTTTCCATATGACAGCACAAACAAGTATTGTCATTAGAGAAAAACCTGCGGCTGTGCAGCTGGCAACAATAATCACCATCCTTTTCTCTTGGGGGCTATCTTGTATCTTTACAAATGCTGAAAACTGATTTGATGAATCATCTGCAAACAAAATTAGCATCTGCTCTGATAACAACAGGCAGTGACCAACATCTGTACCCGAATCATTCTGAAAAATCACTACCTGGCAAGAGCAGTTCATTAGACAAGACTGCTTGCAATCATATTCTGAATATCCTGAAGCAGCCAGTTTTGAAAAGGAACTGTGACTGAAGTAAGAAATGTTGTTCAGTGGTATGAGCTTGTGGTCATGAGCATGTTCGCAGGAGATGCCTGATTAGGGTATGCATCCAGAACCTGGAAGCCGTTCATTTTGGAACCTGAAAGTGCTGAAACTAGGACACGAACATTGCCCACTGTTGCAAACGCCATAATCACCGCAGGCCAGCGGGTAATCACAGAAGGCAACCACTGTGCATAATACATCTAACAACATCCGCGGTGAGTTTTGTTCCTGCATCTCATAAAGCCTCAAGTGCCCGTCAGACTCTAACCTCATGAATTGCAAAGAACTTCCTGACGGTAGTGAGAAGATCTTATCTGGGAACCCAAGGCTGCCATTGGCAAACGCGTAACAAGCTGATGATGTAGTAGGAGTCGATGTTGCCGTTGGCTGGAACAGCTGTGTGTAAGCTGCTGGCTCGAAATAGTGCCGCAGCCCATTCAACTCTGCCGACAGATAGAACCTGGAAGACAAACATTTTGGGTTTGAAAGCTTCGCACTAAGCTTCGTTCCACTGCAAAGTGACTGCCCCATGACCACAGTATCCGTTGGGTGGTCGAAAGGCTGCCAGACTAAGGAACTATTCTTATAAAAAAGCACAGGGTTTCCTGAAAGATCGAGCCTCATGCCTGCAACTGACCTGTTGTTGGTGGCTGTGGACCATATCAATGTGCCACCGTCTTGGAGCAGCAAATATGGTTTGATATGATTAATATATTTTAAAAAAATCATATTTTTTTTGTAGAATTAAATGAAGATAATTTTTATATGAAAATTATAGATCTCGACGAGATTTACAATTTTCTAGTTTTGAGTTTTTTTATTTGAAGTCGTTAAGATGCTCAAAAAAAATTAATGATATATTTAGATTTAAGGGTATTTTCGATTTGACGGTGTTAGAGCTTAAACTGACGGCAGTGGTATGGAGGACACAAAAAAGTTAGAGCAGTAACGCTGAAGACCACTGAACTTTTTCGGAGACACACAGCATTGCGATATTTTTTAATGGCACACAGAGAACTAAAAAAAAAACCAAACCCACGAGTCCTTTTCCCCTCGGCGGAAAGCCGGAAACCCCCTCCCTCCCCAGTCCGCCCAGCGGTCCTACGGCCGAAACCCTCGCCCCTATCCGCGATGGCCGGCCGCGGCGCCTCCCCCGCCGCGTCGGCCCCCGTCCAGGTGCGCTGCGCCGGCTGCCGCGGCGTGCTCGCCGTGGCTCCCGGCATGACCGAGTTCATCTGCCCCAAGTGCCGCATGGCGCAGCGCCTCCCGCCGGAGCTCATGCCGCCGTCCCCGCCCAAGGCCTCCCCGTCTCCGCCGCCCTCAGGCCCAACTCCGCCTCCACCACCTCCACCTTCGCTGCCTCCGCCGCCTCTGCCGCCGCCTCAGACTCAGCCAATGCCGCACCCTCTGGCCCGCCGCTCTGCTCCCCGGGCGCAGGGCGTGGACCCCACCAAGATCCAGCTCCCCTGCGCGCGCTGCAAGGCCGTCCTCAACGTGCCTCACGGCCTCGAGCGCTTCCGCTGCCCGCAGTGCGGCGTCGACCTCGCTGTCGACTTGTCCAAGCTCCGCCATTTCCTTGCCTCTGCGGGCCCAGGCTTCGTCCCGCCTCCACTCCCGCCGCCACCGCCCCCTCCACCGCCAGTGCCAATGCCAATGCCTCACCTGCCCTTCCTGCCGATGATGCCACGCCTTCCAGTTCCAGTGCCCATGCTGCCCATGTTCCCTCCTGCTGAGCTACCTGAGGAGATCAATGAGGTATGGCTCTGCCGGTTCATCAGTATTCAGTAATTCCTGTGTTGTGAGTTAGGCTACCGTGTTACTCCTCACTGGTGTGGCAATGACTGACATGAATTAAGGCCAAATGTCAAAATTTTGGTGTCAGTTGATTTGATCATGGGTCAAATACCAAGCTTCTTTTTAACTGAGCAATGGCATATGAGAATTCGTCACATGCATGCCTGGATGCCATTATTCTGGTTATCTGGTAACATATGGACCTCAAATCACCAAAATCCTTGCAAGCCCAATAGATAGTATGCCAGGGGGGAACACACCTTCAGCACCTGTGAGCATTTCAGTTCATCAGAAGCTGAACTTACATGCAAGAAGGCATGTATTCCTTTTGCTTTTCCAATTGTCTGCGGATGCAACAATTAGCTAAGCTAACCTTTTATTTGGTTCGTCATACTTCCATGGTGTTGGATGGTTCCCTTTGTGACCCTGACTTCTCTGTAAGATAAGAACTGGACTTTTTGTTTGCACAAGAAAGCAGAGCACTGTCTATATTCAGTTCTAAAATGTTGCTGTGTAATTTCTCAAAGTATCATGTGGAATCCATCCACTAACTTCCTTTAGTCTTCATAGGGATAACATGCGCAAATTAATAGGTTTAAGTCTTAATAATTTTTATTTAGCTTATTTGGTGGAATAACCTAGCCTCAGTGCTAATCAGACATCAGACAAGTGAAAAATACTTCCACATATTGGCAAATTATTTGAAGTCTTTTTGTCTGTCTGAAGTCATCTGGAACCCTGACTAGCAGTTTGATTGGCTGTAGTTGCCATGTGTACAACACATACAGTTTGGCGTAGTATAGTTAACTTATGCATGTGCTAAACACTAATTTCACTTCGCATTTTCTTATCTGTATTTGTTTAATCAAGTTTGGTTGTTGAACGGTGCATGTAAACACTGGACAGTCAACAGTCCCTAGCATTTTATCAATCACCATTGTCATTTACAATCTCATGCATCAATGGCTTCTTGATATGCTACTAGATTTGTAACTATAATCGGTTTTAAGCAGGTTGCAGTTGATGTTGAGCGTGATGAAGATGAAAGTGGCACTTTTGGAGAAACTTTCATTGATTATGTAAGGGTTTATGTTTCATTTATTTTCATGAAAAAAGAGAGCAGCTTTGTGCTTCCTAGGTCCCTTCCTGTTTTCACTTCTATTGTTGCTTTTGAGAAATTTACATATTCCTATTCTATTTGCAGAGACCTCCCAAGCTATCTCTTGGTCTTCCTCATCCTGACCCTGTAGTAGAAACATCCTCCTTGTCAGCAGTGCAACCTCCTGATCCTACTTACAAGTTGACTATCATGAAAGAATTGGATGAAACCAATGCATTATCTTCCTTACAGATTGAAGCAATAGTGTATGCTTGTCAGGTCAGTTACATCTTCATTGTTGGACATCTCCTTTTCATGAAGTTTTGTATGTACAATGCATCTCATCTAAGTCTACATCCTTGTATGGCAGAGGCATCTTCATCATCTTCCAACTGGAGCTAGAGCAGGTTTCTTCATCGGTGATGGAGCTGGTGTTGGTAAAGGACGTACCATTGCCGGATTGATCTGGGAAAATTGGCAGCAGGGAAGGCATAAAGCTTTGTAAGAACTTCTGCAAGAAAAGAAATTCTGTAACTACCTATCCATTTTTTGGCTGTACTTGCATTATTTATTGCCTATTTGCATTTTTAATGAGTGATAAATTATTCAGGTGGATATCAATTGGTTCAGACCTGAAATATGATGCTCGCAGAGATCTGGATGATGTTGGTGCAAAATGTGTGGAAGGTGCGAATCTGCAAATGCACTGTCTTTTTTTGAGTCATGAGCAAAATGAAATTGCAATTCATTCTAATTGAGGCCATCTCATGCAAAGAACTGGAATTGAGAGACATGATGCGCATTGTCATTGTTGAAAACTTGTATGAAAGCATATAGGCTGACATGTAATGTTACTTGTATGAAACATTATGGGAGTGCATATAAGAGAGAAGTATTATAAATCAAAGATAAATATCAATGACACTCAACAGTATGGAAGCATTGTTGTTTTCCATTTTTTCAGATGTCTTTATGTCAGTCTTGATGAGAAACAAGATTAACCATAATCGTTAAATATTTCATCTGATCTGAAATATAAGATGATTTGGACCAATATGGTCTTCAATATGACACTTTGACTGGCAATATCTATAAAGTCATATTATCATAAATGAAAAGAGTTATATATTATGAAAGTGTTTTCATAACAAATCTAGCAATACTAATCTTATGTTTCCAATGTGCATAAAATTTGGATATTCATAGTCCAAGATAAAAGGAAAGATTACTTATATTTCCTATCGGAGGACCAAACCAATGGACTTATATTTCCTAATGGAGGAAGAGCTTAATATAATTCATTGATGAAATGGCCTGTCTGGTAGTTTTAATAATTGAGATGAAATGTAGAACTCAAATTTTAACCACTATCTGGCAAATACATTAGTTTTCCATTTCATGTCTGTTGGTGATATTTATGACTGACACTATATACTTTTTCTGCAGTGCACGCTTTAAATAAGCTTCCATATTCTAAGCTAGACTCTAAAACCATTGGGATCACAGATGGAGTTGTTTTTGTAACTTATAGCAGCTTGATAGCATCCTCTGAGAACCGCTCCGTTTGCAGCAGTTGGTACAGTGGTGTGGATCTGAGTTTGATGGTCTTCTGGTGTTCGATGAGGTAAATAAGACTCAGGCTTGAATTAAGCAGTCACCTACAAAAGGAATAAGATCTAATTGAATGAATTTGCAAGGCATCTCGCCATCTCCTAGAAAACATCCATTTACTTATGCAAACATGATGATTGATGGCATTAAATAATGTGCTGAAATGATCTCTCTTGCAGTGTCACAAGGCCAAAATCTGATTCCTGAGGCAGGGAGCCAGCCCACACGCACTGGTAAAGCTGTTCTTGAGATTCAGGTGCATGTAGATTCATACTTGGTGATGTTTCCTTGTTCTGTTCTTGTTATCAACATAGAACATGTTCTGCTGCTATGGTGTTACGTGTCCAATTTCTTGAATGCGAGCTGTGTGGCTTTTAAAAGCACACTTTTGTATATAAATTACTGTCTGCTAAAATATATGTTTAAAACCATATAGCCAAATTGTCCTGCCATTGGAGCATAAACCTTGTAAAAATTGCATTACAAGGGAGGTTATTTGGATGAAGGAACTTTTGCCACCATAGCTTACTATGGTAGTTGTTGTGAATTTTGTAATTTCATTAAACAATATTGATGGTCATGTCATTATACCCCTTTCTTTGGAACAAAGATCCTTTACTTTCTAGGGGTGGTCGTATTAATTCTCAGTTTGGCTGATTTTTTTTTTTTGTAACAACAATTTACTTTTCCGATGAGGTGTTGATACACTAATGGTACAAAACATTACAGGATATGTTACCTCAAGCACGTGTTGTTTATTGTTCAGCGACTGGTGCATCTGAGCCTCGAAATTTAGGTTATATGGTTCGGCTGGGTCTATGGGGAGATAGAACATCGTTTGAGAATTTTCACCAATTTCTAGGTTAATGTTAATTCCTCCTTTTTTTTCTTTGTGCATATATTTTTCCTTTGGCCTTGTCTGAATTCACATACAAATGATCGATCCATTCATCCCAACAGCAATTACAATACTTGTTCCCATCTCTCAGTGGTGAGGCTTCTACCATAATTACAGCGCTAAGTATATCTAAGGCTGTAGTAGTAGTTTACTTGTAGTTGTCCATACTCCATATGAAAGCAAGATTTGCAGTTCTTGTACATTTTGTTGTGCAATAGAAGGCTTGGAAGTAATCAGATAGAGAATCTAGTATTATCACTTATCAGATGTCTTTGGTGTTAATTAGCATTTAAAGATGGATTCTTCCCAAAGTAAATGGAAATGAACTGGCGCTTTATCTGCACTTTTCTTTACTTGAATGAAAGGGCGGCGTCATCTACTTTTACTGTTCATTAGATTGTTCCACAAAAGCTTATAGATTACCACGTATTAGTGTAAGGCAAATATCCCTTTGTCTTAGCAATGATGGACCTCTCAGTTTTAGGCACATATGTTCACAATAGTTAGCATTGTATCCTGTACTACTATGCTCCATTAGATTTTATCAGAAATTTAACCTGTGATTTCAAAGAAATAATAGTGATGTGCTCATGCTTGGTGGGATAAATTTTCAGGTGCTCTTGAGAAAGGAGGTGTGGGTGCTCTTGAACTTGTTGCTATGGACATGAAAGCCAGGTTAGTGTTTGTGGAACTGCTGAATTACCAAGTTCTACCCAATATGTGCACAACTGCACACCAATTGATATAGACAGCACGTATGCTTTGATGACATGTATCTAATGTTCCGTGTATACTGCATACATAGGCCACAGAGTTATCCTGTTGCTAAATTCCAAATTCAGTGCTTTTGTGCATCAATGTTCATTAATACTGCTTTTGTAAATCTTTCCCAGGGAATGTATGTTTGCCGTACTCTAAGTTATAAGGGTGCTAACTTTGATGTTCTGGAATCACTTCTGGAGGAAAGAATGATGGTAAATTGATATACTGCCTTTTTCTTTTATTTTGGTGATAAGATCGTTTCTCTTTGAAACATTTTGTTAGAATATTTTTGTTAGTATGATTGCTCATCAATGTAAAGTAGTATTCTTTTAAATTTAACTTTGTCTAGTACTTTTCTTAACCTGTAGTTCCAATCTCATGTTGCAGAATATGTATAGAAAGGCAGCTGCACTTTGGGTTGAACTGCGTGTTGAACTCCTATCAGCCATTGAATATTATGCAGAAGATAAAGTCAATTCAGCTCAAATATGGCGGCTATACTGGGCCAGTCATCAGGTGGTTCCTTTTCATTTTATGCAACTGAAAACATACTTTCTCCAAAAGTGTTTTTTCCTCAAACATGTATGAGAACTGTGAGTATTGCATTATGAAGAGGAAATAGTTTGTTACATGGAACAACACATGTGTTTGGTAGTTACATTCTCGTACATTTACAAATTGAATAACAACTCGAAAGGCATATAACTCTATGATGTTCTCAACTCAGATATGGGATCAGAGAGAATTCTGATGCATTATTCTTAATATATAATGATAAACAGCTCTCCTGCACGTTCAAGAAAAAGAATTCTGATGCATTGGCTGTGAAGTCTGGCAGATCATGTGCTTCATATACTCTTAACTCTACCATATGTTGTTAACAATTTAATAACAGTACATTATGTTTATTCTTTTTTCGCAGCGTTTCTTTAGGCATATGTGTATGTCTGCAAAGGTACCTGCTGTTGTGAGATTGGCAAAAGAAGCCTTAGCAGAAGAAAAATGTGTGGTGATTGGTCTCCAGAGCACTGGAGAAGCTCGAACAGAGGAAGCTGTTGCTAAATATGTGCGCTTGTCATCTAAGACTACTAATTATTTTCTTCCCATCTTGTGTATTTCTATGGCTAGGCAGGTGAACTGATGTTACAAAATGTTGTTTCGTAATTCAAATGTATGTTGCAGGGCATTGAAATGGATGATTTCGTTTCTGGTCCTAGAGAGCTTCTTCTTAAGCTGGTAGAAGATAATTATCCTTTGCCTCCAAAGCCTGATTTTTTTGAACAAGGTCTGCATTGGCATAAACTTTATAGATGTAGTCATGTAACATGACACTGATGCTCCAGCTTAAGTCTCTGTATTTTTTTTTTCGAACAATGCGGGAGAGCTGCGTGTCATTTCATTAAGAGAATAAAAACAAAGGAGGAGAGGCAGAGCCTGCTCCCCAAGTAGCCAATCACAGGACTCTTAACGCCACACACTATGAAAAAAACAGACGACCACTGGCCAAAAAAAAAAAAAACGCTTAAGAAGCTGCAGAGCCTTAGCTCCAGCCCAACACCACAACAAACACTCTTCAGAAACTTAAATCTGTAGTTTTGTGATAAGTTTGCCAAAGTATCTGTAGTTTTCCAAAATTTACTCTCCTTTTTATTTCTTCCAAAATAAGCTAAATTTATACATAAAAAAAATTGATTGATGTTTTGTTATTAGTAAATTACTTAATTGTTTTCTGGGTGTTTACATGTTGGTTCTGTGCTCAAACCATGGTGGGTTTCGTGTTTTTGTTAGTTTGTACACAAATAATACACTAGATAAATGACTAATGAACTTTGGCATTTGGTTGCTGCACAAGAGGCTGGCTGTTTTTTATCCAGTAATTGCCATGCCATCTTCTGTTGTGCTGATATAAGATCACACACCTTACCTCTACATCACAATTAACTGTTGCAGCACATCATATTTATCATCTCTTAGTCCAGTACATATGTACAATAAGTCAATAACCCCACCAATTGTTACATTATGCTTTGTAATCTACTACTTTCCCACCGTTGGATCAGTACTACAGGGTTCCCTACATTGGTTTGATAGCTCTCCCCCACTATCACAGACATTCTTTTCGGGGGAAAAAAATCAGGACTTGTAGTTTCTAATCTAAACTTCAATGTCTCAGATGTTGTCAACTGCTGTAACTTTCACAAAAAATTCTGTTTGAAAATTTAACCATCTGTATTTCAGAAAATGAGTTTTGGCACTCCGTTGACCTTGATTTAGAAGAGAATATTTGTAGTCTATGCAGTCCTGCTTGCTTACTTCTTTATTTACCTATGCTGTTGCAAGTGAAGAAAAAGTCCAGGAGTTTCAGCACAAGCGGCATGGATCTGATATGTCCTTGAAAGGGCGAGTTAGTAAACTTGGAAAAAGGAAGATGTGAGAGAAGATGGAGGTGATGAGTACCCTGCACGTAAGTTTTCTGACAAAGTTGTTGATAGTGATTGCTAAATATGGTACTGCAATGGCAAAAGTATTTGTATTTTTTATATAGTTACCACTTGGAAGCATCTTTGTAGGAGAGCAAAGTATTTGTGAAGCTGATAAATATTCCTTTCTCCTAGATTCCATAGAGTAGCACTGTAGCACAACCACAAACCTGCCATTAATGGGTGTTCTTAATCACTTCAATTTTTTCATACTATGGTGTAAATTACATAGGATGGGATACATTGTTCATTTACCGAGGTAGCTTTATTCTCTCATCTCAAGGAGTGGTCATTGGCAAATTCTCTTCCCTCTCCTGATAATCATATTATTTGTTGCATTGGGATGTGCCTGTTGTTAAGAAATTAAAATTAAAACCAATGGAACCTGGTTTGCTCATTACATATAATTGCATCTATTTACGTAGTCTGGACATGCTTTATTACTTAAACATTTACTCCGTTTATTTTTACAGGAGTAGAATGTTTTAGGATTTGAAAAGGTCAAATTCATAAATGTTGACTAATAGCTAGTCAGATTATGTGTACGCTTAGTGAATGAAAGTTATATCAATAGATTCAGTTCAGAAATCTTTTAAGACGACATTGATTTGTAGCAATTGCTGATATATTGTAAGAGAAATCGATGGTCAAATTACATAATTTAAAGTCTTGTCAAAATCCTTAGACACATTATAAAAGGAAAAAAAAATAGAAAAGCATCCAAATATTTTCACAGGCCTCTGTACTTCTGTAGTGTGAAAGTAATATCTTCTGATAATACTGGGCACAGGCCTCTGTCCTTCTGTAGTGTGAAAGTAATATCTTCTGATAATACTGTGCTGTTGGAAAGTTGAAACAGTTGATTGCTATTGTTGCATGGACAGCTTGAATAATAGTTATGATCTCTTTCCTAATATTTTCTTCATTTCTTGATGTACTTATTTATCTATTCTATAAATGTCGCAGCAGAGTCAGATCATGAATCAACAGAATCTGATGAGGACTTCTATATGTGTCAGATTTGCAACACTGAGGAGGTGACCTTTTATGTTTCAATAAGCACTGCAAATTTTAGCCTACTTGTGATGTACTTGGTCCCAACACTTTTACCTACCATGGTTATCTTTTTATTATCACACCAGAATATAAAACTGTTTTTGTGAAAAAAATTATCCCTGCGCATGTCAATATAAGTTTACTGGCAATCTCCAAATCTTACTGAACTTTTAAATGTTAGCCAGACGCCAATTGTTCAAATTAGCGCTACCGGGCAACTGTTCAATATAGCCCAGAAATTTATTAAATACAACCACTAACTGCTTCAGGTCCAGTTGCACTGTACAAAAAGGCAGCATTGCTTTGTAATAGCATACAACACTGAGCTCTTGGAATTTGATGACTACATCTGCTTATTTTTGTTTAGTTTGTCTAACCCTTTAATTTGCATGTCATTTCAGGAGAAAAGCTTGTTGCTTTATTGCTCTATTTGTGCTTCACGGGTTCACCCTGGTTGCCTCACTCCACCTTGGACTGAAATTGTGACTGATGATTGGACATGTTATGGTTGCAAGGAGAAAGTAGAAAGCTACTTAAAAGAAAGAGATGCTTACTTGACTGAACTCTCAAAGAGGTGTCTGTTATGTGAATCAATAAGCATTCACTAATTTGACATGCTCATATGGCCCATTTCATAAACTTGTTGAAAATTGTTGTCAGGTATGATGCTGCATTGGACAGAAAGTCAAAGATTCTTGACATAATCCGCTCCTTGGATTTACCTAGTAATCCTTTAGATGATATCATCGATCAGGTAATCAAACTTTCAAGTCGAAAAACGTTGAACTACCCTCATGAATTTTGCATTGAATGTTGACCAACAGTTGGTATTCATAACCTCACACTAGAGGATGATGTGAACCCAAATCTCTGAAGACATGGAAAAATAGAATGGGCTATTAATCACAGAACTCTTATGTAGATTAGACTTACGTAGATTAGACTTTAGCTGAACATATGAGTAAATATTTTAGGTATTTTGGAGGGATCAGTGACTTCTGATGTGTGACCTAAGATATCCAAATTTGATCCAGCTAGTCCTATTTGTGAACTGGAAATATAGAATGAGCTATTAATAGCAGAACTGCATATGTAGCTTAATGGAATATAACTAAACCTTCATGTGCAAAGAGGAATTACACCACTCTAACGGCCTCTAGCTACTGTTTAGCACTGTTTGGCTATGTTTAGTAATGGAATTAAATTGAATTCTTCAATACGTAATGAAGAGGCCAACAGCGCATGCATGTGGCCTCTCGTGCATTCAAAAATGATCACGCCGGTGCGCTTGCCTCGATCTCTCCGTCGCCCCCTTGGTCCGTGGACCCGTTCCCACGTCACCCTTGTATGGGTAAATGTTAAATAATTTAGGTGCTTAGGAAGGCGCCAATGACTTTTAATGTATGAATAAGGCATCCAGGGTCGATACTGTCCTATTTTTTTTAACATCATTAGTCCATATGCTTTGAATCAGCAGAGTGAAATGTTTGTCTAAAAAATTTAGCTGATTATTTGGTCATCAACAATACCTCCAGACATTTCTTTTGTTTTTGTATTTTTTATAAGGTTTTGTTTTTGTATTTTGTAGCTTGGTGGTCCTGACAATGTTGCAGAAATAACTGGACGACGTGGTATGCTAATAAGAGCATCAGATGGAAAAGGTGTTATTTACCAGGCGCGGAACACGTGAGTGAGCTTTCATGTAATGTTATCTTCTTTGATTCAGTAATTCTAATCCAAATATATGCGGCCTTTCTAGGAAAGAAGTTGCATTGGACATGATCAATATGCATGAAAAGCAGCAGTTCATGGATGGAGAAAAGAATGTTGCCATAATATCAGAAGCAGGATCAGCTGGTGTTTCTCTACATGCTGATCGAAGAGCAAAAAATCAGGTCTGTTTTCCTCCTCATCCATACAGTTCAAGATGGTTGTCTGTAGGAATGTGCCTTATCCTGCTAAACTGCACATGCCAGAGGAGAAGAGTGCACATAACACTAGAGCTTCCTTGGAGTGCAGACCGTGCAATTCAGCAGTTTGGGAGAACTCATCGTTCTAATCAAACTTCTGCACCTGAATATAGGTATTATATGAACACAAATTTTTCAATTTGCTCATGTATACTGTTTGTTATTTTACTTTTATATATGTGAGTGCGTGAGTTTGTGGTAGTGTGTAGGTTCTTGTATGGATTATTTTACCCTTTTTCCTTCTTAATATAAAGATACGCAGCTATCCTTCATATTTGATAAAAAAATGCAGTTTTTGTTTGTTCATGGAAGTATTCTGATTCTCATGTAGCACAAGAACACTTATATTAGCTTATGCTCAGTGATAGAAGGGAAATTGCTAGATGTGTATATATCTAGGGGTCTAATTGTAATTGTACTGAGCTCCTAGCGACTATATATATGAAAGTCACCCCTCCCTAATGGAGTGAGGTGTTCTCCCTATTCCTTTCTACAGAAATGACCCTCTTTTAAGTTACCTATATCTGAAATTATGAATCATAAATTTATAATTCTTGAAACACCAATCCAGGCTTCTTTTCACAAACCTCGGTGGTGAAAAGCGATTTGCTTCAATCGTGGCAAAGAGACTGGAGTCTCTTGGAGCTTTAACGCAAGGAGATCGAAGGTTCTTTCTCATGCTTACTGATATGATAAGTATAACCTTGAACGTCTTTAGTTTACATTGTGTGATCCAACTTTTGTAGAGCTGGACCATCACTTAGCGCCTTTAACTATGACAGTAATTATGGAAAGAAAGCCCTGACAATGATGTACAGAGGAATAATGGAACAGGTTAGTAGTTAATATTTGATTTTCACTTTGGAAGGAAGGCAGGGTCATTTCAAAATATATGCATTGTTCTAAAGCATTTTATTTCAAGGTTACCAGGATGCCTTTCCTGTTGTGCCTTTTGGATGCTCTGAGAATCAAGCTACTCTTGAAGAGTTCATCACTAAAGCAAAAGCTGCTTTAGTGTCAGTTGGAATTATTAGGGATCCTATAATGTGTAAGTTTGTTTCACAAACTTATTTGTATTGTCTCAGAATTAGAAATATGAACTTTAGAAAGTTCTGTTTTGATTGTTTTGCTTCTAAAGGTCGTGTTTTACCATTCACAAGGTTAAAACTAGTGACACATTTTATCATTCTTGTCCAATTTATTATATATGTAAGTGCCACTTTTGAACCTAATAATGTGTTTCAGTTATTGCATTCTTCTGTTTGTAGTAAAGCCTGTTCTTATCTTAGACAAACAAAAACATCACATGGGTACACTTCTCAAAGCTATATATGCTGCTTAGCCACAAACTTCATGTTTTCGGCCAATTTATCATATAAACTTCACCTCTGAGTTCATAATCATGGGTGCACAAACTTCATGTTTTCGCCAATGTCTCATTTCTAATTTGTTTGAAGTAGTAGTTTGGCTGTAGTCTGAGTTCATAATCATGTGTGCACCCGTTGATTTTTTTGGCTGCTTAAGTGGAGTTTTTATATATTAAAGCCTCTGACCAAGTTTATAAAAGAACACATCAACATCGTAGGGGTTTGGGGGTTTTCTCAACCTGCGTGAGAAGGTCTTCTTCTTAGTGCAATGCTCGGGGGCTGTCTTAACATCTAGAACATGAAATTATTTTTTATTAATTTCTCCATGAAATATGTATTGGTTGAGCATTTATTTAAACTTGTAAATGTTAATATATTTTTGTCAAAACTTGGTCAAAGTTAGAGAAGTTTGACTTAGGACATAAGTGAAAATGAACTATAATTTGGAATGGAGGGAGTACCATGCAGTGCATGATACAAATGTTCTGCTATTTTTGCATCAAATCTATACTATTTAGTTTCAAAATTGGAGCTTGTGATTGGCAACTGTCGTTGCAGGCAATGGAAAAAATGGTGGAAAGCTTACTGGTAGGATTCTTGATTCTGATATGCATGATGTTGCCCGTTTCCTTAATCGTATTCTGGGATTGTTTCCAGACATCCAGAATAGGCAAGTTTTTTTCTGAACACAAATTTCTTTCATTACATTTGTACCTGGTCAGGCGATAGCTCACGGACATACTTAATATGACAGATTATTTGATCTTTTCACAAGCATACTTGATATAGTGATTCAGAATGCACGAATTGAAGGGCAACTTGATTCTGGCATTGTTGATATCAAAGCTAAAAGTGTTGAAATGAAAGACTCACCAAAGGTAGTGTTTCTTTCAGACAAAAGTTTGCTGTAGTAGCTCTACTTGTAGCTATAACTGAATTTTGTTTGTGCAGACTGTTCATGTTGATACTGTGTCTGGTGCTAGTACAGTATTATATACTTTTACAGTTGACCGTGGAGTTTCTTGGGAAGTAAGTTTCATATTGAAGCCATTATCTGTTTTTCTTAAGAACTTGTGGGACATGAAATGTATCTATACTAGGAGCATACCCCGCGCGTTGCTGCAGGAATTGCGAATAAATTTTAGTGGATAGTATTGTATGCTGACATGGACAAATAAATGATGTTAGTGGGTGATGTGGCTTGCTGATGTGGATAGCTTGCATGAATAGATAGGTGACAATTGCATGTGCTAGTGGGCTGCTGATGTGGATGGCTTGCATGTTGAGATAGGATTGTAGTGGGTTTTAGGATTATAAGATATATAGATATAGATATGCATTTCAGTTTGGTTCTGCATTACTTTTTTTTGAAACATAGTTCTGCATTACTTTTAAGACTGCACCTCTTGACAAGCGCATTGTTTTCTATGTTTTCAATCGCAAATGTTCAGTTAGCAAATGCAATACTTGAAGAAAGGCTGAAAGATAAAGCAAATTCTTCTAGTGATGGATTCTATGAGTCCAGAAAAGAATGGATGGGGAGAAGACACTTTATGCTAGCTTTTGAAGGGTAAGATGTGATTGGTGAGCATGCTTTATTTATATTTTTGTTATTTTCTATAAGATGTCTCAGGATTGTAAATTTCTTTCTTAGAACATGGGTAAGAAATAACCTTCAGTGGTGGAGCCTCAAAGAGGCGAAACTGGGCGTTGCCCCCCCCCGCCTCTGTCCCTCCCTGAAGACACTAGTAGTGCAAGAAGGGAAGACAAGGACTGTGATTTGTAGGGAAAGAAGAAAAGACAGGCCATATGAAGTGGTGCTGGTGCCGCAGGCATAGCCACATGCAGTACTCCAGCTATGACTGAGCTCAGGAAGGAGAAAAAAAAAAGTAGGCGATGGAGGCGTGCATGTCTGCCGCTCTCAACTGCCATAGTTACAGTAGCACCTTTTAAAATTAGCCCCCCCTTAATTCGGATTCACCCTCCGCCACTGATAAACTTCCATAACTAATAGAAGATGGTGCAATTATTGTGGCATCTGATGACAAATGAAACATTTCAGCAAGAGATCCCTACTGTGATGGGAATCCTTGGCACATTTGATATATTTTTCTATACTATTGGATAGTTTAGCGCATTGTCAACTTGTAGTTTTTCATGAATTCTACAATGAATTCAAAGAATTTTAAATATATAAGAAAAAGATCCCTATTACTGTCATGAAAGATGGAATATGTCTAACGATGTTTGGAGTCAGATACATGGATATTGAAGTATTGTTGTAATAAAAGATGCTCTGGTATGCGTCTATCATGACTACAAAGTTTGTTTGGCTGCCAAAAAATATGATGCCACATTGTAATTGCAATTATGCTTTTCTCGACCTGAATCCTTATTGCATTTGTTCTCGCTTTTGCTGTACCAGTTCAGCTGAAGGATTGTACAGAGTAATTCGTCCGGGTGTCGGGGAGGCTTCAAGGTACTTACTTCATCATTTTCCTAATAATTTTCTTTTGTATTACTGCTTTCAGAATACTTCAAACCTTGGCAGAGTTGATTTCTTCTGCTCCCTCCGTCCCAAAATAAGTGATGTTTTAGGTTTGTCCTAAGTCAAACCATTTTAAGTTTGACCAAATTTATAGGAAAGAGCATCAATATTTATGATACCGAATATGTAGAATATGAAAATATATTTCATGATAAATCTAATAGTACTTATTTGATATCATAAACATTAGTATTTTTGTGTATAAATTTGGTCAAATTTGAAATAGTTTGACTTAGGACAAACCTAAAACATCACTTATTTTGGGACTGAGGGAGTATTCATCTTGAGTACTCCAACCGTACATAAATAAATGTATGACAGTTTGGACGTCGTCGGTCTTCAGTGTGCAACTTTGACCATAATTTTTTGTATAAACATGAGAATAAAAACATATAAACTACTATATTATGAAAATATTTTTCATTCTTTTACCCTTATAATCAACCTAAATTCTAAATTGGTCAAAGTTAGAGTAGTTTGACTGCATGCATTCTGGGGTATGTCACAAATGGAGGCAGTAAAGCATAGCTGTTACTCGTGGGCTCTTATATCATGGTGCTTAGTTTACGTTTTCATACTTAACATGTTGTCCCTGTCTTGTTTTAAGGGAAATGCCTTTGGTTGTGCTTAAAAGCAAGTACAGGAAGGTCTCATCTGTTGACAAAATTAGTAAAGGCTGGCAAGAAGAGTATGACTCTTCATCCAAACAGGTAATGGTCTAGTTAGAGAACTTCATCCAACCTTCACTGTGATGTTTGTCAAACTACCTGTAAACTTATGTGAAGCTGGGTTACTTATTTTTTAAGCTTACAGTGATCTGTTATTGCTAATGAGCGTACAAATTAGAAAAAGAAATACAAGTAGGTTTTTACCATTAGCACAAAGGGATGATACAATAATGCTGGGACATAATAAGTCTTTGACTTTAGTTGCTTTTAGCTGTTTCTTTTTTACAAAGTTGCTTTTAGTTGTTGTTTTGTCTCTACCCCAACTTGCTTGGGACAAAAAGTCATTGTTCCAGTTCAATGTTGTTTACTATCAACCATCTAAAGGAGACCATCCCAAAGGGTTCTATTATTTTAGCTCTTATTTTGATTCAACAAGTTACAGTTCGAGCATCTGAAAACTAGTGTATAGTTCCAGGATTAATCCTCGCTTTTTATGCTGCTTTTACCTGAACCTAACTGCTCGTATTTTAGGAAGACATGATTGGCTATATCGTCTGCACTTTAACCAACTTGGGTTAGTTTCATCCGTTAATCTGGTGTCTTTTGACTTACAGTGTATGCACGGGCCAAAATGCAAACTTGGAAGCAATTGCACAGTAGGCAGAAGGTTGCAGGAGATTAATGTATTGGGTGGTCTAATACTTCCTGTATGGGGTGCAGTAGCAAAGGCACTAGCTAAGCAGGTTTGTTTTTTTTATACAAAAACAATGTTTTCTCTTACTTGAAGCACCTGCCGCAATTATCAGTTCATTACATGAAGTGTTTATATTAGATAGCATGGTTAAATTTAATGATAGAATGGGTTTGTACATGTACCATAGCCGTGGAGGGTATTTAATCTATGCTTCTCTAATTGGCAGTTTTTTTTGCTTACATAAATTAGGTGCGACTGATTCACAAGAGAATACGTGTTGTCCGTTTGGAGACAACAACTGACAACAAGCGGTTCGTTGGACTTATTATTCCAAATTCTGCAGTGGAGTCGGTACTCGAAGGTCAGTTGTAGTGTTACACTTTCCAAGAAGGATTCCCATCTGTTAGTACTTTTAATGATCTGTAGTCCAAGAAACTGGTGTTGATTTTGCATGCATGGCTGGAAAACAATCGATGCTACTAGCTGTTGCTCCCTCCAGTCATAAATTAGTGTCATTGGATGAAAAACAGAGTGAATAACCAGTTCTCTTTAGTCTTGAGCCTCCGCGTCTGGGCGGGCGACCTAACCCTAGCGCCACCACCCTCTCATCCCTCCGCTCCCACCTCATCACCACCTCATTCGCTGGATCGAACGGAGCACGGCACGTAAGGCCAGTGGATGTTGCCTGCGCCCGGTGACATTGGTGGTCTAACACTGCATGCGCCAGGCGTCTGCATGTGTGAAAACTCGTAACTATTTTTTTTTTTTTTTTTCTTAAGTTATGATGAAATCCAGGTTATAATGAGCTTCCTTTTTGGGGTGAGCTCTAGTTTCACATGTTTACAATTTTATATAACATAATACCCTTTTCCTTTTTGACGTGTTTGCAGAATTTTATATGCTCATGTTGCTTACCATGTGTTGTTGCACACATTTTTGTTGGACCGTGGCAGGTTTGCAATGGGTTCAAGATATTGACGATTGATTTGGCAAGATGCTACTCCTCTGGCACTCCTTGCGTTGCTGTGGACCAAATCTGTAACGACGGGGCAACTTGGGAAGCCTGTTCGGCTGATACGTTCTCAGCTTGATTCAGCTTATTCTCTCTCACAGAACACTATTGAATCAGCCAAAATCAGCTAAAACTGGATCAGCCGAACGCGCTGTACGCAGTCAGCAGTGATAAGGAACCTAGTGTGATTGTACACAGTCAGCAGTGATACGACAGCGGCTGGCCATTTTTTTGTGTTATTATATATATAAATGTAGTTATATAAGTTTATTATTAGATCTGGGTCCAGTTGTAAGTTAACCTGTTGTTGGGGGCCTGTGGCCCATTTGTCAGCTAAATCGGATGGCTACATGCCTATATATGATGCACGCTGTACTTCAGTGTGGTGGACTGGTGGTGGTTGTGGCTCTTGTAGCTACCCATGTTTGACATTCTGAGCAACAGAAGTTGGAGGCAGACTGCTGCGCAGATACTTGTTCATGTAATGGGGGTGTTATATCGGGTGTCACACGGGGGGTGTCGTATGGGGTGATCGGATACTAATAAAAAAATAAATTACAGAATTCGTTAGTAAATTGTGAGACGAATTTATAAAGTCTAATTAATTTGTCATTAGCACATGTGTTATTGTAGCACTTTATTATTAAATCATGGATTAATTAGGTTTAAAAGATTCAAAAGGAGTCGTAATTTATGTAATTAGTTATTTTTTTAGTTTATATTTAATATTCGTCTAGACATTGGGATATGACGTAAATCTTTGGGAGGAACTACACAGGGTCTTAACAAAAAAAAAAAAGGGAGAGTGCGCGCCCTAGCAGACCATGGGCACAGTCTAGCGCACTTGCAGCCACTTTGTTTAAGGAGGTTAGGCGGCAACAGTTCCTTCAAGCAGTCTACAATGTCTTGCATTGCGTCGTCATCGAGCTTCTCATCCTTCCCAACAATAATGCCCAAATCTTTTAACACGTTGCACTATGCAAGCCGATCACTTCAACGAAGCGATGACCTACCATAGGACTTACGTCGGTGTCTTGCTGTCATGGCAGGTGGTGAAGGGGAATGTATAGGAGGACATACCACGTCCATCTCCTTCCTAGTTGTGACAGACAGAGAATATGTTGCCTTTATCAGTGGATCCTCTGTCAGGGCACTTTTGCTTTGACCTCGGTCATAGATTGAGTAATGGTGTTTTCGATGGTGATGAGAAAGATGGGGTCCTCAATTGTCACTTGTGAGATAGTTTCCTCATCATCGGATGTGACTTCAACTAGAACAATATTCTCAATTAGAGTGACTGCATCTAGCGACGCTCGCTCTATTACTTGAATAGTGGAGGTCTCTGAGGGCACCGCAATGGCTTGCTCTATTGTCTTCTCACTGGTGAAGGAATCTACACCGATTGCACATGTGTCCTCACACACCAAGGACTATGTGGGCATGCAAGCGTCTGCAAGAGAAACGAGGATTGACGGTGTCGGAGAGTGCCAAATGGGAGAACAGGGGTCGAAGAGCTCTGCCATGTTGGAAGTGAAGTATGCTCTCCAGGTGGCTCTACATAGGGACCAAATAAATTTGGACACATCAACAGAGGGATCCTTACTTGGTAGCTCCACATGCTTCAGGTGTGTGGCCACATGTGCTAGCCACAACTTGATAGCAGAAACCTCATCACTGAGGGGCCGCACCAGCTCGTCCAAATGGGTGATGATCTATTGTTGAAGCTCTAAGTGCAATGACTCCAGCAGAGGTGCAAGCATGGATTGGAGAACAAAGATAGCTGAAGCTTGAGGTGCATGATCATCATAGTCATGTACATTCTTCCCCCGTGAAGGAGAATGGTTTTGTGGAGACGATGGTCGAGTGCGGAGCTGACTTGATGAGGATGCAACCACAACATCCATCCAACTCCGAGCTAGTTGGGGGTGGCGAAGATTGGCAGTTGGTGAGGGTGGGCGCGTGGTAGGGGAGGGGAATTGATGGGGCCAATGTCATTCCTGATGTCCAGGTCGATGACAACAAATGCAGCAAAATGAATCCTGACATGAGCTAACTAGATGGTCACGAGCAAGACAACGATACCATCTGCCACAAACCCACTGCTTCAAGGCAAGTCTACTCTCGGACTTTCAGAATGATTGTGGAAGGTGACGACTACTCGAAGCAACGCACAGGTTGTAAGTGACCCTTAGACCCACCTTTAGTTGTCATGACTGACTTGACCCCAATAGATGCATTGGTCGACATAGGTGGAGGCCTCATAGCCTCGAATCACATAGCAGCTAAAAGACGTAGTTGGTAGTGAAGATCGCCGACAAACAAGAGCAACTCCTAGATAGTAGAGCTGCAACCGACGATAGCCTAAGATGGTGGAGATTCGATAGTGGAGGTAGTCAAGGTTAGCGGGTACTAGAGATGAGGTTGTGTTGACGACGGTGAGGCCAACCGCCGCCAATGGCGGCGACAACCAAGACGAGGCTCAAAACAACCCTACATGAAGAAGGGTTCTTTTCTAGCTCAATCAAGGTCGAGAAAAGCAAATCCTATGGAGACTCCTTGACGACTTGGGCAGTGGGTGGGGGCGCTGCCTAGAACAGCAGCGTCGAAATCCAAAGTTGAACACCCCCATAGATACAGTACACTAGCAACACCCAAACTCAATACAACAAATTGTGGCAGCGATGAACAGATTGTGGCCCAAGATGATGGATTCATTGACTGAAGGAGGCACGAGATGTTGCGAATGTGGCAATGATCTCTGGCCAAACATGAGGCTTGGTTAGCTTGGTGGGCGACCCTACCATAGTGGATGGTGGCATGGAGCCTGCCCGCTGCATGAATGTGATCATCCGGCTGGAGGAGAGGATCGACATGGAGGTGATCGGAGTTGACTCGGGGTAGCCCTGGTGTGGTGGATTCTCATCGTCGGTAGCTGGGCATATGGTAGGAGGGTAGTCTTCCAGGGCTTCTTCACGCAACCATGTGTTGAGGCGAATTACGGTCATCACACTGATAAGGAGCTAGATCGCTTGTGTAACGTCCCAGAGTCCAAATGGCTCAGATCCACTTTGCACACTAAGTGAACCACACCTACCACCATCCCACTTACGCTTTCGTCCTCGCTTCTCATAAAAGAATTAACCTAGGGATGGTGAGAATGACTCTAGAAGCCTTATATGTTGGTATATCCCACCTTTAACAACTAAGGTGGGACTAAACTCTCCACAATATCTCATTAACATGCACATAGACCACTATGAGTTAAATTCCAAACTGGGCTAGATGTCACAGCTTGGTATAGGTGGGCTAAAGATTAGCCTAGCTAACTTTAGGTTGGTCGTCGCCTACAGTGTGTTCACAGATGATCACTTGACCTGGTGCCTCCAGCGATGAGCACAATACGTAAGACACGTCGTCGAAGAAGCCTCGTTGGGAGCGCGATACACAAGACACGCTGACTAGGTCTCTCTTGAAACCCAAGACCCCACACGCCTAGGAGGGACCCCATCGGGGCGTGCGGCAGTGAAGGTCTGCCCAAGCCAACTTGACCGCTCTAAAGCTTCATCTTCGTTGATCCACTGACCATGCGGTAGGAACGAAGAATGAGGAAACAGTAGTAGATGAGAAGGAGAGGGTAAAAGGGTTGAGTATTAGATGTGTTTTGATGATTGTGTAGTTGGATTATCTCAATCGGACAATGATCCTCTAATATATATAGAGGGGGTGGTCTTATCCCAGTAGAGAACATCTCCCAACGAAATCTACAAGTTTGGAATATGAGCAATGTCCGTGAGCAAAAACATTGCCTAACTATGCAAACATATGATTCTTTCAAAATGAAACCAAATTTGCTTGTGAAAGACATGTATTCTCGTTTAAATCTAATTGTCAATGATCTCAATTCTATAGGTTTGACAAATTTAGAAGATGAGGAAGATCATCTTTGTAATTGAACCAAAATGATGTAATTGTATTATATTTTGTTTGAGTTATGGGAAAAAACTATTATATTATATTATATAATATATAAATATATTAATATATCATTTATATTGATGATTCTAAAAAATATTGTACTTATGTTCATCTTATTTATGCTTGATTTGTTTTGTATCAAGAAGCAACACAATGGTATTGCATGAATCCATATTTATGCTTGTTCATAGCTATATACAAGCATTAAACAATTTACAGAGTTAAATAGACAACTCATTATACAAGTTGTTTGTTCTCTATGTATAAAATGGAAAAAACTTTGGGTTGTACATGTCCTAACAAGAACAACCACTTTATCACCTAGGCCCTGATAAATGTGACTCAGAGGGCACATAGGAAGACCTTGATTCGGCTACCCCGATGTTGCTTGATGCAAAATTTGGAACAAAAGTGCAGTCAGGTGTGGCATCTAAGCTCTTCACACCTTCCAACACCTTGGCGACTGTGGACATCAAGGGCCTTGCGCTGCTATCAACCTGCAAGCACCACATTGCAAGCTTCATTGTTTGCATGACCTCCTCCATGTGGGATTTCATATCATTGCTGCTACTGTCCACCAAATCAGACAGCTGACCCGACCTAGCCTTCTATTGAAGCAGGCTTATCAAGTGAATGCTCCCCTCAGGCTGCGATTCATCCAAATTCTCTTGGCCACAAATGATTTCGATCATCACAATCCCAAAGCTGTAGATGTCAGCCTTCTCAGTGATTTTTGAGCCCAGCCATTCTGGTGCTAGATAACCACGCATTCCTCGCATTCGAGTCATCACTTTGCTCTGGTCCCTGTTTATCATCTTCGAAAGTCCGAAATCTGAGAGCTTTGCATTGAATTCATCATCCAGGAGAATGTTTTGTGGCTTGATGTCTAAATGTGCAATCTTTTCCTTGCATTCTTCATGGAGGAAAGCCAACCCCCTAGCAACAGCAATGATGATGTTACGTCTAGTTCTCCAAGAAAGAGTGAAAATTGGGCTTGTGTGAAAAAATCCATTTATCCAGTGAGCCGTTTGACAAGTACCCATAGACAAGGAGTTTATGTGATTTCTCAGCACAAAATCCCACTAACCTAACAAGGTTACGGTGATGCATTCTACCAATCGTCTTGACGTCTGCCAAGAACTCTTCTGTTCCTTGCTCGACACCCTCCAAGCGCTTGACAGCAATGGTTTCCTTGCCTATCCTGCCTTTAAAGACCGACCCAAAACCACCATGTCCCAACTTCATGGAAAACTTGCTGGTAGCTACCTTCAACTCATCGAAGGAGAAACACTTTGGTGTCCCAAGTATGACATCAAAGAGAAGTCCCTCATCTTTCTTGCGCCTTTTCCATATGACAGCACAAACAAGTATTGTCATTAGAGAAAAACCTGCGGCTGTGCAGCTGGCAACAATAATCACCATCCTTTTCTCTTGGGGGCTATCTTGTATCTTTACAAATGCTGAAAACTGATTTGATGAATCATCTGCAAACAAAATTAGCATCTGCTCTGATAACAACAGGCAGTGACCAACATCTGTACCCGAATCATTCTGAAAAATCACTACCTGGCAAGAGCAGTTCATTAGACAAGACTGCTTGCAATCATATTCTGAATATCCTGAAGCAGCCAGTTTTGAAAAGGAACTGTGACTGAAGTAAGAAATGTTGTTCAGTGGTATGAGCTTGTGGTCATGAGCATGTTCGCAGGAGATGCCTGATTAGGGTATGCATCCAGAACCTGGAAGCCGTTCATTTTGGAACCTGAAAGTGCTGAAACTAGGACACGAACATTGCCCACTGTTGCAAACGCCATAATCACCGCAGGCCAGCGGGTAATCACAGAAGGCAACCACTGTGCATAATACATCTAACAACATCCGCGGTGAGTTTTGTTCCTGCATCTCATAAAGCCTCAAGTGCCCGTCAGACTCTAACCTCATGAATTGCAAAGAACTTCCTGACGGTAGTGAGAAGATCTTATCTGGGAACCCAAGGCTGCCATTGGCAAACGCGTAACAAGCTGATGATGTAGTAGGAGTCGATGTTGCCGTTGGCTGGAACAGCTGTGTGTAAGCTGCTGGCTCGAAATAGTGCCGCAGCCCATTCAACTCTGCCGACAGATAGAACCTGGAAGACAAACATTTTGGGTTTGAAAGCTTCGCACTAAGCTTCGTTCCACTGCAAAGTGACTGCCCCATGACCACAGTATCCGTTGGGTGGTCGAAAGGCTGCCAGACTAAGGAACTATTCTTATAAAAAAGCACAGGGTTTCCTGAAAGATCGAGCCTCATGCCTGCAACTGACCTGTTGTTGGTGGCTGTGGACCATATCAATGTGCCACCGTCTTGGAGCAGCAAATATGGTTTGATATGATTAATATATTTTAAAAAAATCATATTTTTTTTGTAGAATTAAATGAAGATAATTTTTATATGAAAATTATAGATCTCGACGAGATTTACAATTTTCTAGTTTTGAGTTTTTTTATTTGAAGTCGTTAAGATGCTCAAAAAAAATTAATGATATATTTAGATTTAAGGGTATTTTCGATTTGACGGTGTTAGAGCTTAAACTGACGGCAGTGGTATGGAGGACACAAAAAAGTTAGAGCGATGTTATAATCAAAAACCAAATGAACTTTTTCTATAGCACACAAGATTGCGATATTTTTTAATGCACACACAGAGAACTAAAAAAAAACCAAACCCACGAGTCCTTTTCCCTCGGCGGAAAGCCGAAAACCCCTCCTCCCCAGTCCGCCCAGCGGTCCTACGGCCGAAACCCTCGCCCCTATCCGCGATGGCCGGCCGCGGCGCCTCCCCCGCCGCGTCGGCCCCCGTCCAGGTGCGCTGCGCCGGCTGCCGCGGCGTGCTCGCCGTGGCTCCCGGCATGACCGAGTTCATCTGCCCCAAGTGCCGCATGGCGCAGCGCCTCCCGCCGGAGCTCATGCCGCCGTCCCCGCCCAAGGCCTCCCCGTCTCCGCCGCCCTCAGGCCCAACTCCGCCTCCACCACCTCCACCTTCGCTGCCTCCGCCGCCTCTGCCGCCGCCTCAGACTCAGCCAATGCCGCACCCTCTGGCCCGCCGCTCTGCTCCCCGGGCGCAGGGCGTGGACCCCACCAAGATCCAGCTCCCCTGCGCGCGCTGCAAGGCCGTCCTCAACGTGCCTCACGGCCTCGAGCGCTTCCGCTGCCCGCAGTGCGGCGTCGACCTCGCTGTCGACTTGTCCAAGCTCCGCCATTTCCTTGCCTCTGCGGGCCCAGGCTTCGTCCCGCCTCCACTCCCGCCGCCACCGCCCCCTCCACCGCCAGTGCCAATGCCAATGCCTCACCTGCCCTTCCTGCCGATGATGCCACGCCTTCCAGTTCCAGTGCCCATGCTGCCCATGTTCCCTCCTGCTGAGCTACCTGAGGAGATCAATGAGGTATGGCTCTGCCGGTTCATCAGTATTCAGTAATTCCTGTGTTGTGAGTTAGGCTACCGTGTTACTCCTCACTGGTGTGGCAATGACTGACATGAATTAAGGCCAAATGTCAAAATTTTGGTGTCAGTTGATTTGATCATGGGTCAAATACCAAGCTTCTTTTTTAACTGAGCAATGGCATATGAGAATTCGTCACATGCATGCCTGGATGCCATTATTCTGGTTATCTGGTAACATATGGACCTCAAATCACCAAAATCCTTGCAAGCCCAATAGATAGTATGCCAGGGGGGAACACACCTTCAGCACCTGTGAGCATTTCAGTTCATCAGAAGCTGAACTTACATGCAAGAAGGCATGTATTCCTTTTGCTTTTCCAATTGTCTGCGGATGCAACAATTAGCTAAGCTAACCTTTTATTTGGTTCGTCATACTTCCATGGTGTTGGATGGTTCCCTTTGTGACCCTGACTTCTCTGTAAGATAAGAACTGGACTTTTTGTTTGCACAAGAAAGCAGAGCACTGTCTATATTCAGTTCTAAAATGTTGCTGTGTAATTTCTCAAAGTATCATGTGGAATCCATCCACTAACTTCCTTTAGTCTTCATAGGGATAACATGCGCAAATTAATAGGTTTAAGTCTTAATAATTTTTATTTAGCTTATTTGGTGGAATAACCTAGCCTCAGTGCTAATCAGACATCAGACAAGTGAAAAATACTTCCACATATTGGCAAATTATTTGAAGTCTTTTTGTCTGTCTGAAGTCATCTGGAACCCTGACTAGCAGTTTGATTGGCTGTAGTTGCCATGTGTACAACACATACAGTTTGGCGTAGTATAGTTAACTTATGCATGTGCTAAACACTAATTTCACTTCGCATTTTCTTATCTGTATTTGTTTAATCAAGTTTGGTTGTTGAACGGTGCATGTAAACACTGGACAGTCAACAGTCCCTAGCATTTTATCAATCACCATTGTCATTTACAATCTCATGCATCAATGGCTTCTTGATATGCTACTAGATTTGTAACTATAATCGGTTTTAAGCAGGTTGCAGTTGATGTTGAGCGTGATGAAGATGAAAGTGGCACTTTTGGAGAAACTTTCATTGATTATGTAAGGGTTTATGTTTCATTTATTTTCATGAAAAAAGAGAGCAGCTTTGTGCTTCCTAGGTCCCTTCCTGTTTTCACTTCTATTGTTGCTTTTGAGAAATTTACATATTCCTATTCTATTTGCAGAGACCTCCCAAGCTATCTCTTGGTCTTCCTCATCCTGACCCTGTAGTAGAAACATCCTCCTTGTCAGCAGTGCAACCTCCTGATCCTACTTACAAGTTGACTATCATGAAAGAATTGGATGAAACCAATGCATTATCTTCCTTACAGATTGAAGCAATAGTGTATGCTTGTCAGGTCAGTTACATCTTCATTGTTGGACATCTCCTTTTTCATGAAGTTTTGTATGTACAATGCATCTCATCTAAGTCTACATCCTTGTATGGCAGAGGCATCTTCATCATCTTCCAACTGGAGCTAGAGCAGGTTTCTTCATCGGTGATGGAGCTGGTGTTGGTAAAGGACGTACCATTGCCGGATTGATCTGGGAAAATTGGCAGCAGGGAAGGCATAAAGCTTTGTAAGAACTTCTGCAAGAAAAGAAATTCTGTAACTACCTATCCATTTTTTGGCTGTACTTGCATTATTTATTGCCTATTTGCATTTTTAATGAGTGATAAATTATTCAGGTGGATATCAATTGGTTCAGACCTGAAATATGATGCTCGCAGAGATCTGGATGATGTTGGTGCAAAATGTGTGGAAGGTGCGAATCTGCAAATGCACTGTCTTTTTTTGAGTCATGAGCAAAATGAAATTGCAATTCATTCTAATTGAGGCCATCTCATGCAAAGAACTGGAATTGAGAGACATGATGCGCATTGTCATTGTTGAAAACTTGTATGAAAGCATATAGGCTGACATGTAATGTTACTTGTATGAAACATTATGGGAGTGCATATAAGAGAGAAGTATTATAAATCAAAGATAAATATCAATGACACTCAACAGTATGGAAGCATTGTTGTTTTCCATTTTTTCAGATGTCTTTATGTCAGTCTTGATGAGAAACAAGATTAACCATAATCGTTAAATATTTCATCTGATCTGAAATATAAGATGATTTGGACCAATATGGTCTTCAATATGACACTTTGACTGGCAATATCTATAAAGTCATATTATCATAAATGAAAAGAGTTATATATTATGAAAGTGTTTTCATAACAAATCTAGCAATACTAATCTTATGTTTCCAATGTGCATAAAATTTGGATATTCATAGTCCAAGATAAAAAGGAAAGATTACTTATATTTCCTATCGGAGGACCAAACCAATGGACTTATATTTCCTAATGGAGGAAGAGCTTAATATAATTCATTGATGAAATGGCCTGTCTGGTAGTTTTAATAATTGAGATGAAATGTAGAACTCAAATTTTAACCACTATCTGGCAAATACATTAGTTTTCCATTTCATGTCTGTTGGTGATATTTATGACTGACACTATATACTTTTTCTGCAGTGCACGCTTTAAATAAGCTTCCATATTCTAAGCTAGACTCTAAAACCATTGGGATCACAGATGGAGTTGTTTTTGTAACTTATAGCAGCTTGATAGCATCCTCTGAGAACCGTTCCCGTTTGCAGCAGTTGGTACAGTGGTGTGGATCTGAGTTTGATGGTCTTCTGGTGTTCGATGAGGTAAATAAGACTCAGGCTTGAATTGCGAGTCACCTACAAAAGGAATAAGATCTAATTGAATGAATTTGCAAGGCATCTCGCCATCTCCTAGAAAACATCCATTTACTTATGCAAACATGATGATTGATGGCATTAAATAATGTGCTGAAATGATCTCTCTTGCAGTGTCACAAGGCCAAAAATCTGATTCCTGAGGCAGGGAGCCAGCCCACACGCACTGGTAAAGCTGTTCTTGAGATTCAGGTGCATGTAGATTCATACTTGGTGATGTTTCCTTGTTCTGTTCTTGTTATCAACATAGAACATGTTCTGCTGCTATGGTGTTACGTGTCCAATTTCTTGAATGCGAGCTGTGTGGCTTTTAAAAGCACACTTTTGTATATAAATTACTGTCTGCTAAAATATATGTTTAAAACCATATAGCCAAATTGTCCTGCCATTGGAGCATAAACCTTGTAAAAATTCGTACAAGGGAGGTTATTTGGATGAAGGAACTTTTGCCACCATAGCTTACTATGGTAGTTGTTGTGAATTTTGTAATTTCATTAAACAATATTGATGGTCATGTCATTATACCCCTTTCTTTGGAACAAAGATCCTTTACTTTCTAGGGGTGGTCGTATTAATTCTCAGTTTGGCTGATTTTTTTTTTTTGTAACAACAATTTACTTTTCCGATGAGGTGTTGATACACTAATGGTACAAAACATTACAGGATATGTTACCTCAAGCACGTGTTGTTTATTGTTCAGCGACTGGTGCATCTGAGCCTCGAAATTTAGGTTATATGGTTCGGCTGGGTCTATGGGGAGATAGAACATCGTTTGAGAATTTTCACCAATTTCTAGGTTAATGTTAATTCCTCCTTTTTTTTCTTTGTGCATATATTTTTCCTTTGGCCTTGTCTGAATTCACATACAAATGATCGATCCATTCATCCCAACAGCAATTACAATACTTGTTCCCATCTCTCAGTGGTGAGGCTTCTACCATAATTACAGCGCTAAGTATATCTAAGGCTGTAGTAGTAGTTTACTTGTAGTTGTCCATACTCCATATGAAAGCAAGATTTGCAGTTCTTGTACATTTTGTTGTGCAATAGAAGGCTTGGAAGTAATCAGATAGAGAATCTAGTATTATCACTTATCAGATGTCTTTGGTGTTAATTAGCATTTAAAGATGGATTCTTCCCAAAGTAAATGGAAATGAACTGGCGCTTTATCTGCACTTTTCTTTACTTGAATGAAAGGACGGCGTCATCTACTTTTACTGTTCATTAGATTGTTCCACAAAAGCTTATAGATTACCACGTATTAGTGTAAGGCAAATATCCCTTTGTCTTAGCAATGATGGACCTCTCAGTTTTAGGCACATATGTTCACAATAGTTAGCATTGTATCCTGTACTACTATGCTCCATTAGATTTTATCAGAAATTTAACCTGTGATTTCAAAGAAATAATAGTGATGTGCTCATGCTTGGTGGGATAAATTTTCAGGTGCTCTTGAGAAAGGAGGTGTGGGTGCTCTTGAACTTGTTGCTATGGACATGAAAGCCAGGTTAGTGTTTGTGGAACTGCTGAATTACCAAGTTCTACCCAATATGTGCACAACTGCACACCAATTGATATAGACAGCACGTATGCTTTGATGACATGTATCTAATGTTCCGTGTATACTGCATACATAGGCCACAGAGTTATCCTGTTGCTAAATTCCAAATTCAGTGCTTTTGTGCATCAATGTTCATTAATACTGCTTTTGTAAATCTTTCCCAGGGGAATGTATGTTTGCCGTACTCTAAGTTATAAGGGTGCTAACTTTGATGTTCTGGAATCACTTCTGGAGGAAAGAATGATGGTAAATTGATATACTGCCTTTTTCTTTTATTTTGGTGATAAGATCGTTTCTCTTTGAAACATTTTGTTAGAATATTTTTGTTAGTATGATTGCTCATCAATGTAAAGTAGTATTCTTTTAAATTTAACTTTGTCTAGTACTTTTCTTAACCTGTAGTTCCAATCTCATGTTGCAGAATATGTATAGAAAGGCAGCTGCACTTTGGGTTGAACTGCGTGTTGAACTCCTATCAGCCATTGAATATTATGCAGAAGATAAAGTCAATTCAGCTCAAATATGGCGGCTATACTGGGCCAGTCATCAGGTGGTTCCTTTTCATTTTATGCAACTGAAAACATACTTTCTCCAAAAGTGTTTTTTCCCTCAAACATGTATGAGAACTGTGAGTATTGCATTATGAAGAGGAAATAGTTTGTTACATGGAACAACACATGTGTTTGGTAGTTACATTCTCGTACATTTACAAATTGAATAACAACTCGAAAGGCATATAACTCTATGATGTTCTCAACTCAGATATGGGATCAGAGAGAATTCTGATGCATTATTCTTAATATATAATGATAAACAGCTCTCCTGCACGTTCAAGAAAAAGAATTCTGATGCATTGGCTGTGAAGTCTGGCAGATCATGTGCTTCATATACTCTTAACTCTACCATATGTTGTTAACAATTTAATAACAGTACATTATGTTTATTCTTTTTTCGCAGCGTTTCTTTAGGCATATGTGTATGTCTGCAAAGGTACCTGCTGTTGTGAGATTGGCAAAAGAAGCCTTAGCAGAAGAAAAATGTGTGGTGATTGGTCTCCAGAGCACTGGAGAAGCTCGAACAGAGGAAGCTGTTGCTAAATATGTGCGCTTGTCATCTAAGACTACTAATTATTTTCTTCCCATCTTGTGTATTTCTATGGCTAGGCAGGTGAACTGATGTTACAAAATGTTGTTTCGTAATTCAAATGTATGTTGCAGGGCATTGAAATGGATGATTTCGTTTCTGGTCCTAGAGAGCTTCTTCTTAAGCTGGTAGAAGATAATTATCCTTTGCCTCCAAAGCCTGATTTTTTTGAACAAGGTCTGCATTGGCATAAACTTTATAGATGTAGTCATGTAACATGACACTGATGCTCCAGCTTAAGTCTCTGTATTTTTTTTTTCGAACAATGCGGGAGAGCTGCGTGTCATTTCATTAAGAGAATAAAAACAAAGGAGGAGAGGCAGAGCCTGCTCCCCCAAGTAGCCAATCACAGGACTCTTAACGCCACACACTATGAAAAACAGACGACCACTGGCCAAAAAAAAAAAAACGCTTAAGAAGCTGCAGAGCCTTAGCTCCAGCCCAACACCACAACAAACACTCTTCAGAAACTTAAATCTGTAGTTTTGTGATAAGTTTGCCAAAGTATCTGTAGTTTTCCAAAATTTACTCTCCCTTTTTTATTTCTTCCAAAATAAGCTAAATTTATACATAAAAAAATTGATTGATGTTTTGTTATTAGTAAATTACTTAATTGTTTTCTGGGTGTTTACATGTTGGTTCTGTGCTCAAACCATGGTGGGTTTCGTGTTTGTTAGTTTGTACACAAATAATACACTAGATAAATGACTAATGAACTTTGGCATTTGGTTGCTGCACAAGAGGCTGGCTGTTTTTTATCCAGTAATTGCCATGCCATCTTCTGTTGTGCTGATATAAGATCACACACCTTACCTCTACATCACAATTAACTGTTGCAGCACATCATATTTATCATCTCTTAGTCCAGTACATATGTACAATAAGTCAATAACCCCACCAATTGTTACATTATGCTTTGTAATCTACTACTTTCCCACCGTTGGATCAGTACTACAGGGTTCCCTACATTGGTTTGATAGCTCTCCCCCACTATCACAGACATTCTTTTCGGGGGAAAAAAATCAGGACTTGTAGTTTCTAATCTAAACTTCAATGTCTCAGATGTTGTCAACTGCTGTAACTTTCACAAAAAATTCCTGTTTGAAAATTTAACCATCTGTATTTCAGAAAATGAGTTTTGGCACTCCGTTGACCTTGATTTAGAAGAGAATATTTGTAGTCTATGCAGTCCTGCTTGCTTACTTCTTTATTTACCTATGCTGTTGCAAGTGAAGAAAAAGTCCAGGAGTTTCAGCACAAGCGGCATGGATCTGATATGTCCTTGAAAGGGCGAGTTAGTAAACTTGGAAAAAAGGAAGATGTGAGAGAAGATGGAGGTGATGAGTACCCTGCACGTAAGTTTTCTGACAAAGTTGTTGATAGTGATTGCTAAATATGGTACTGCAATGGCAAAAGTATTTGTATTTTTTATATAGTTACCACTTGGAAGCATCTTTGTAGGAGAGCAAAGTATTTGTGAAGCTGATAAATATTCCTTTCTCCTAGATTCCATAGAGTAGCACTGTAGCACAACCACAAACCTGCCATTAATGGGTGTTCTTAATCACTTCAATTTTTTCATACTATGGTGTAAATTACATAGGATGGGATACATTGTTCATTTACCGAGGTAGCTTTATTCTCTCATCTCAAGGAGTGGTCATTGGCAAATTCTCTTCCCTCTCCTGATAATCATATTATTTGTTGCATTGGGATGTGCCTGTTGTTAAGAAATTAAAATTAAAACCAATGGAACCTGGTTTGCTCATTACATATAATTGCATCTATTTACGTAGTCTGGACATGCTTTATTACTTAAACATTTACTCCGTTTATTTTTACAGGAGTAGAATGTTTTAGGATTTGAAAAGGTCAAATTCATAAATGTTGACTAATAGCTAGTCAGATTATGTGTACGCTTAGTGAATGAAAGTTATATCAATAGATTCAGTTCAGAAATCTTTTAAGACGACATTGATTTGTAGCAATTGCTGATATATTGTAAGAGAAATCGATGGTCAAATTACATAATTTAAAGTCTTGTCAAAATCCTTAGACACATTATAAAAGGAAAAAAATAGAAAAGCATCCAAATATTTTCACAGGCCTCTGTACTTCTGTAGTGTGAAAGTAATATCTTCTGATAATACTGGGCACAGGCCTCTGTCCTTCTGTAGTGTGAAAGTAATATCTTCTGATAATACTGTGCTGTTGGAAAGTTGAAACAGTTGATTGCTATTGTTGCATGGACAGCTTGAATAATAGTTATGATCTCTTTCCTAATATTTTCTTCATTTCTTGATGTACTTATTTATCTATTCTATAAATGTCGCAGCAGAGTCAGATCATGAATCAACAGAATCTGATGAGGACTTCTATATGTGTCAGATTTGCAACACTGAGGAGGTGACCTTTTATGTTTCAATAAGCACTGCAAATTTTAGCCTACTTGTGATGTACTTGGTCCCAACACTTTTACCTACCATGGTTATCTTTTTATTATCACACCAGAATATAAAACTGTTTTTGTGAAAAAAATTATCCCTGCGCATGTCAATATAAGTTTACTGGCAATCTCCAAATCTTACTGAACTTTTAAATGTTAGCCAGACGCCAATTGTTCAAATTAGCGCTACCGGGCAACTGTTCAATATAGCCCAGAAATTTATTAAATACAACCACTAACTGCTTCAGGTCCAGTTGCACTGTACAAAAAGGCAGCATTGCTTTGTAATAGCATACAACACTGAGCTCTTGGAATTTGATGACTACATCTGCTTATTTTTGTTTAGTTTGTCTAACCCTTTAATTTGCATGTCATTTCAGGAGAAAAGCTTGTTGCTTTATTGCTCTATTTGTGCTTCACGGGTTCACCCTGGTTGCCTCACTCCACCTTGGACTGAAATTGTGACTGATGATTGGACATGTTATGGTTGCAAGGAGAAAGTAGAAAGCTACTTAAAAGAAAGAGATGCTTACTTGACTGAACTCTCAAAGAGGTGTCTGTTATGTGAATCAATAAGCATTCACTAATTTGACATGCTCATATGGCCCATTTCATAAACTTGTTGAAAATTGTTGTCAGGTATGATGCTGCATTGGACAGAAAGTCAAAGATTCTTGACATAATCCGCTCCTTGGATTTACCTAGTAATCCTTTAGATGATATCATCGATCAGGTAATCAAACTTTCAAGTCGAAAACGTTGAACTACCCTCATGAATTTTGCATTGAATGTTGACCAACAGTTGGTATTCATAACCTCACACTAGAGGATGATGTGAACCCAAATCTCTGAAGACATGGAAAAATAGAATGGGCTATTAATCACAGAACTCTTATGTAGATTAGACTTACGTAGATTAGACTTTAGCTGAACATATGAGTAAATATTTTAGGTATTTTGGAGGGATCAGTGACTTCTGATGTGTGACCTAAGATATCCAAATTTGATCCAGCTAGTCCTATTTGTGAACTGGAAATATAGAATGAGCTATTAATAGCAGAACTGCATATGTAGCTTAATGGAATATAACTAAACCTTCATGTGCGCAGGAATTACACCACTCTAACGGCCTCTAGCTACTGTTTAGCACTGTTTGGCTATGTTTAGTAATGGAATTAAATTGAATTCTTCAATACGTAATGAAGAGGCCAACAGCGCATGCATGTGGCCTCTCGTGCATTCAAAAATGATCACGCCGGTGCGCTTGCCTCGATCTCTCCGTCGCCCCCTTGGTCCGTGGACCCGTTCCCACGTCACCCTTGTATGGGTAAATGTTAAATAATTTAGGTGCTTAGGAAGGCGCCAATGACTTTTAATGTATGAATAAGGCATCCAGGGTCGATACTGTCCTATTTTTTTTAACATCATTAGTCCATATGCTTTGAATCAGCAGAGTGAAATGTTTGTCTAAAAAATTTAGCTGATTATTTGGTCATCAACAATACCTCCAGACATTTCTTTTGTTTTTGTATTTTTTATAAGGTTTTGTTTTTGTATTTTGTAGCTTGGTGGTCCTGACAATGTTGCAGAAATAACTGGACGACGTGGTATGCTAATAAGAGCATCAGATGGAAAAGGTGTTATTTACCAGGCGCGGAACACGTGAGTGAGCTTTCATGTAATGTTATCTTCTTTGATTCAGTAATTCTAATCCAAATATATGCGGCCTTTCTAGGAAAGAAGTTGCATTGGACATGATCAATATGCATGAAAAGCAGCAGTTCATGGATGGAGAAAAGAATGTTGCCATAATATCAGAAGCAGGATCAGCTGGTGTTTCTCTACATGCTGATCGAAGAGCAAAAAATCAGGTCTGTTTTCCTCCTCATCCATACAGTTCAAGATGGTTGTCTGTAGGAATGTGCCTTATCCTGCTAAACTGCACATGCCAGAGGAGAAGAGTGCACATAACACTAGAGCTTCCTTGGAGTGCAGACCGTGCAATTCAGCAGTTTGGGAGAACTCATCGTTCTAATCAAACTTCTGCACCTGAATATAGGTATTATATGAACACAAATTTTTCAATTTGCTCATGTATACTGTTTGTTATTTTACTTTTATATATGTGAGTGCGTGAGTTTGTGGTAGTGTGTAGGTTCTTGTATGGATTATTTTACCCTTTTTCCTTCTTAATATAAAGATACGCAGCTATCCTTCATATTTGATAAAAAAATGCAGTTTTTGTTTGTTCATGGAAGTATTCTGATTCTCATGTAGCACAAGAACACTTATATTAGCTTATGCTCAGTGATAGAAGGGAAATTGCTAGATGTGTATATATCTAGGGGTCTAATTGTAATTGTACTGAGCTCCTAGCGACTATATATATGAAAGTCACCCCTCCCTAATGGAGTGAGGTGTTCTCCTATTCCTTTCTACAGAAATGACCCTCTTTTAGTTACCTATATCTGAAATTATGAATCATAAATTTATAATTCTTGAAACACTAATCCAGGCTTCTTTTCACAAACCTCGGTGGTGAAAAGCGATTTGTTTCAATCGTGGCAAAGAGACTGGAGTCTCTTGAGCTTTAACGCAAGGAGATCAAGGTTCTTTCTCATGCTTACTGATATGATAAGTATAACCTTGAACGTCTTTAGTTTACATTGTGTGATCCAACTTTTGTAGAGCTGGACCATCACTTAGCGCCTTTAACTATGACAGTAATTATGGAAAGAAAGCCCTGACAATGATGTACAGAGGAATAATGGAACAGGTTAGTAGTTAATATTTGATTTTCACTTTGGAAGGAAGGCAGGGTCATTTCAAAATATATGCATTGTTCTAAAGCATTTTATTTCAAGGTTACCAGGATGCCTTTCCTGTTGTGCCTTTTGGATGCTCTGAGAATCAAGCTACTCTTGAAGAGTTCATCACTAAAGCAAAAGCTGCTTTAGTGTCAGTTGGAATTATTAGGGATCCTATAATGTGTAAGTTTGTTTCACAAACTTATTTGTATTGTCTCAGAATTAGAAATATGAACTTTAGAAAGTTCTGTTTTGATTGTTTTGCTTCTAAAGGTCGTGTTTTACCATTCACAAGGTTAAAACTAGTGACACATTTTATCATTCTTGTCCAATTTATTATATATGTAAGTGCCACTTTTGAACCTAATAATGTGTTTCAGTTATTGCATTCTTCTGTTTGTAGTAAAGCCTGTTCTTATCTTAGACAAACAAAAACATCACATGGGTACACTTCTCAAAGCTATATATGCTGCTTAGCCACAAACTTCATGTTTTCGGCCAATTTATCATATAAACTTCACCTCTGAGTTCATAATCATGGGTGCACAAACTTCATGTTTTCGCCAATGTCTCATTTCTAATTTGTTTGAAGTAGTAGTTTGGCTGTAGTCTGAGTTCATAATCATGTGTGCACCCGTTGATTTTTTTGGCTGCTTAAGTGGAGTTTTTATATATTAAAGCCTCTGACCAAGTTTATAAAAGAACACATCAACATCGTAGGGGTTTGGGGGTTTTCTCAACCTGCGTGAGAAGGTCTTCTTCTTAGTGCAATGCTCGGGGGCTGTCTTAACATCTAGAACATGAAATTATTTTTTATTAATTTCTCCATGAAATATGTATTGGTTGAGCATTTATTTAAACTTGTAAATGTTAATATATTTTTGTCAAAACTTGGTCAAAGTTAGAGAAGTTTGACTTAGGACATAAGTGAAAATGAACTATAATTTGGAATGGAGGGAGTACCATGCAGTGCATGATACAAATGTTCTGCTATTTTTGCATCAAATCTATACTATTTAGTTTCAAAATTGGAGCTTGTGATTGGCAACTGTCGTTGCAGGCAATGGAAAAAATGGTGGAAAGCTTACTGGTAGGATTCTTGATTCTGATATGCATGATGTTGCCCGTTTCCTTAATCGTATTCTGGGATTGTTTCCAGACATCCAGAATAGGCAAGTTTTTTCTGAACACAAATTTCTTTCATTACATTTGTACCTGGTCAGGCGATAGCTCACGGACATACTTAATATGACAGATTATTTGATCTTTTCACAAGCATACTTGATATAGTGATTCAGAATGCACGAATTGAAGGGCAACTTGATTCTGGCATTGTTGATATCAAAGCTAAAAGTGTTGAAATGAAAGACTCACCAAAGGTAGTGTTTCTTTCAGACAAAAGTTTGCTGTAGTAGCTCTACTTGTAGCTATAACTGAATTTTGTTTGTGCAGACTGTTCATGTTGATACTGTGTCTGGTGCTAGTACAGTATTATATACTTTTACAGTTGACCGTGGAGTTTCTTGGGAAGTAAGTTTCATATTGAAGCCATTATCTGTTTTTCTTAAGAACTTGTGGGACATGAAATGTATCTATACTAGGAGCATACCCCGCGCGTTGCTGCAGGAATTGCGAATAAATTTTAGTGGATAGTATTGTATGCTGACATGGACAAATAAATGATGTTAGTGGGTGATGTGGCTTGCTGATGTGGATAGCTTGCATGAATAGATAGGTGACAATTGCATGTGCTAGTGGGCTGCTGATGTGGATGGCTTGCATGTTGAGATAGGATTGTAGTGGGTTTTAGGATTATAAGATATATAGATATAGATATGCATTTCAGTTTGGTTCTGCATTACTTTTTTTTGAAACATAGTTCTGCATTACTTTTAAGACTGCACCTCTTGACAAGCGCATTGTTTTCTATGTTTTCAATCGCAAATGTTCAGTTAGCAAATGCAATACTTGAAGAAAGGCTGAAAGATAAAGCAAATTCTTCTAGTGATGGATTCTATGAGTCCAGAAAAGAATGGATGGGGAGAAGACACTTTATGCTAGCTTTTGAAGGGTAAGATGTGATTGGTGAGCATGCTTTATTTATATTTTTGTTATTTTCTATAAGATGTCTCAGGATTGTAAATTTCTTTCTTAGAACATGGGTAAGAAATAACCTTCAGTGGTGGAGCCTCAAAGAGGCGAAACTGGGCGTTGCCCCCCCCCGCCTCTGTCCCTCCCTGAAGACACTAGTAGTGCAAGAAGGGAAGACAAGGACTGTGATTTGTAGGGAAAGAAGAAAAGACAGGCCATATGAAGTGGTGCTGGTGCCGCAGGCATAGCCACATGCAGTACTCCAGCTATGACTGAGCTCAGGGAAGGAGAAAAAAAGTAGGCGATGGAGAGACGTGCATGTCTGCCGCTCTCAACTGCCATAGTTACAGTAGCACCTTTTAAAATTAGCCCCCCCTTAATTCGGATTCACCCTCCGCCACTGATAAACTTCCATAACTAATAGAAGATGGTGCAATTATTGTGGCATCTGATGACAAATGAAACATTTCAGCAAGAGATCCCTACTGTGATGGGAATCCTTGGCACATTTGATATATTTTTCTATACTATTGGATAGTTTAGCGCATTGTCAACTTGTAGTTTTTCATGAATTCTACAATGAATTCAAAGAATTTTAAATATATAAGAAAAAGATCCCTATTACTGTCATGAAAGATGGAATATGTCTAACGATGTTTGGAGTCAGATACATGGATATTGAAGTATTGTTGTAATAAAAGATGCTCTGGTATGCGTCTATCATGACTACAAAGTTTGTTTGGCTGCCAAAAAATATGATGCCACATTGTAATTGCAATTATGCTTTTCTCGACCTGAATCCTTATTGCATTTGTTCTCGCTTTTGCTGTACCAGTTCAGCTGAAGGATTGTACAGAGTAATTCGTCCGGGTGTCGGGGAGGCTTCAAGGTACTTACTTCATCATTTTCCTAATAATTTTCTTTTGTATTACTGCTTTCAGAATACTTCAAACCTTGGCAGAGTTGATTTTTCTGCTCCTCCGTCCCAAAATAAGTGATGTTTTAGGTTTGTCCTAAGTCAAACCATTTTAAGTTTGACCAAATTTATAGGAAAGAGCATCAATATTTATGATACCGAATATGTAGAATATGAAAATATATTTCATGATAAATCTAATAGTACTTATTTGATATCATAAACATTAGTATTTTTGTGTATAAATTTGGTCAAATTTGAAATAGTTTGACTTAGGACAAACCTAAAACATCACTTATTTTGGGACTGAGGGAGTATTCATCTTGAGTACTCCAACCATACATAAATAAATGTATGACAGTTTGGACGTCGTCGGTCTTCAGTGTGCAACTTTGACCATAATTTTTTGTATAAACATGAGAATAAAAACATATAAACTACTATATTATGAAAATATTTTTCATTCTTTTACCCTTATAATCAACCTAAATTCTAAATTGGTCAAAGTTAGAGTAGTTTGACTGCATGCATTCTGGGGTATGTCACAAATGGAGGCAGTAAAGCATAGCTGTTACTCGTGGGCTCTTATATCATGGTGCTTAGTTTACGTTTTCATACTTAACATGTTGTCCCTGTCTTGTTTTAAGGGAAATGCCTTTGGTTGTGCTTAAAAGCAAGTACAGGAAGGTCTCATCTGTTGACAAAATTAGTAAAGGCTGGCAAGAAGAGTATGACTCTTCATCCAAACAGGTAATGGTCTAGTTAGAGAACTTCATCCAACCTTCACTGTGATGTTTGTCAAACTACCTGTAAACTTATGTGAAGCTGGGTTACTTATTTTTTAAGCTTACAGTGATCTGTTATTGCTAATGAGCGTACAAATTAGAAAAGAAATACAAGTAGGTTTTTACCATTAGCACAAAGGGATGATACAATAATGCTGGGACATAATAAGTCTTTGACTTTAGTTGCTTTTAGCTGTTTCTTTTTTACAAAGTTGCTTTTAGTTGTTGTTTTGTCTCTACCCCAACTTGCTTGGGACAAAAAGTCATTGTTCCAGTTCAATGTTGTTTACTATCAACCATCTAAAGGAGACCATCCCAAAGGGTTCTATTATTTTAGCTCTTATTTTGATTCAACAAGTTACAGTTCGAGCATCTGAAAACTAGTGTATAGTTCCAGGATTAATCCTCGCTTTTTATGCTGCTTTTACCTGAACCTAACTGCTCGTATTTTAGGAAGACATGATTGGCTATATCGTCTGCACTTTAACCAACTTGGGTTAGTTTCATCCGTTAATCTGGTGTCTTTTGACTTACAGTGTATGCACGGGCCAAAATGCAAACTTGGAAGCAATTGCACAGTAGGCAGAAGGTTGCAGGAGATTAATGTATTGGGTGGTCTAATACTTCCTGTATGGGGTGCAGTAGCAAAGGCACTAGCTAAGCAGGTTTGTTTTTTTTATACAAAAACAATGTTTTCTCTTACTTGAAGCACCTGCCGCAATTATCAGTTCATTACATGAAGTGTTTATATTAGATAGCATGGTTAAATTTAATGATAGAATGGGTTTGTACATGTACCATAGCCGTGGAGGGTATTTAATCTATGCTTCTCTAATTGGCAGTTTTTTTTGCTTACATAAATTAGGTGCGACTGATTCACAAGAGAATACGTGTTGTCCGTTTGGAGACAACAACTGACAACAAGCGGTTCGTTGGACTTATTATTCCAAATTCTGCAGTGGAGTCGGTACTCGAAGGTCAGTTGTAGTGTTACACTTTCCAAGAAGGATTCCCATCTGTTAGTACTTTTAATGATCTGTAGTCCAAGAAACTGGTGTTGATTTTGCATGCATGGCTGGAAAACAATCGATGCTACTAGCTGTTGCTCCCTCCAGTCATAAATTAGTGTCATTGGATGAAAAACAGAGTGAATAACCAGTTCTCTTTAGTCTTGAGCCTCCGCGTCTGGGCGGGCGACCTAACCCTAGCGCCACCACCCCTCTCATCCCTCCGCTCCACCTCATCACCACCTCATTCGCTGGATCGAACGGAGCACGGCACGTAAGGCCCGAGTGGATGTTGCCTGCGCCGGTGACATTGGTGGTCTAACACTGCGCCAGGCGTCTGCATGTGTGAAAACTCGTAACTATTTTTTTTTTCATTTTCTTAAGTTATGATGAAATCCAGGTTATAATGAGCTTCCTTTTTGGGGTGAGCTCTAGTTTCACATGTTTACAATTTTATATAACATAATACCCTTTTCCTTTTTGACGTGTTTGCAGAATTTTATATGCTCATGTTGCTTACCATGTGTTGTTGCACACATTTTTGTTGGACCGTGGCAGGTTTGCAATGGGTTCAAGATATTGACGATTGATTTGGCAAGATGCTACTCCTCTGGCACTCCTTGCGTTGCTGTGGACCAAATCTGTAACGACGGGGCAACTTGGGAAGCCTGTTCGGCTGATACGTTCTCAGCTTGATTCAGCTTATTCTCTCTCACAGAACACTATTGAATCAGCCAAAATCAGCTAAAACTGGATCAGCCGAACGCGCTGTACGCAGTCAGCAGTGATAAGGAACCTAGTGTGATTGTACACAGTCAGCAGTGATACGACAGCGGCTGGCCATTTTTTTGTGTTATTATATATATAAATGTAGTTATATAAGTTTATTATTAGATCTGGGTCCAGTTGTAAGTTAACCTGTTGTTGGGGGCCTGTGGCCCATTTGTCAGCTAAATCGGATGGCTACATGCCTATATATGATGCACGCTGTACTTCAGTGTGGTGGACTGGTGGTGGTTGTGGCTCTTGTAGCTACCCATGTTTGACATTCTGAGCAACAGAAGTTGGAGGCAGACTGCTGCGCAGATACTTGTTCATGTAATGGGGGTGTTATATCGGGTGTCACATGGGGGGTGTCGTATGGGGTGATCGGATACTAATAAAAAAATAAATTACAGAATTCGTTAGTAAATTGTGAGACGAATTTATAAAGTCTAATTAATTTGTCATTAGCACATGTGTTATTGTAGCACTTTATTATTAAATCATGGATTAATTAGGTTTAAAAGATTCAAAAGGAGTCGTAATTTATGTAATTAGTTATTTTTTTAGTTTATATTTAATATTCGTCTAGACATTGGGATATGACGTAAATCTTTGGGAGGAACTACACAGGGTCTTAACAAAAAAAAAAAGGAGAGTGCGCGCCCTAGCAGACCATGGGCACAGTCTAGCGCACTTGCAGCCACTTTGTTTAAAGTAGTGTGCCGTGTCTTCTCGAGCAATCTAGCTGCCACGACGGTGACTGCAGGCGGCGCCTGCGCGGAACTCCTAAACCTTGGACCGTGGTCGTTTCGTCGCCTGGTGCTGCAACGAACGCATCAGAGATATACTACTCCCTCCCTCTTAAATTCTAAGTCTTGGTTTATTCATTTTATTATGTATCTAAATATATTATGTATGAAATAAATATAGGCGGAACTTGGTGTATGAAAATTTTGACCACGCTATAAGTTTACCACCTCAACTTCTAACATCTACAAATCTACATCTATATATAGCTAATAATGGGCTCGTTCGGCTGGTCACAAAACCAGCCGGATTTCACTGTGCACGGATAAAAAATAATGTTCACTCTCTCACAAATTCCTCTAGATTCCTTCAAATTCCTCCCAGCGAACAGGACCAATAATCTACTCCTAATATTATGTTAAAGTCAAAAGTGGATTCTATCAATCTTTCCTTTTCACTTCTCATAATGCTCTCGCACCTCTCTCCATGTAGTTCGTGACCTAGCCTCACAAATTGTAACAGCCTGTGTCCAGCCGTGGTATGGGGTTTGATGATAACAAGTGGATTCTTCCTACCTTTTTTTTCACTCCTTATAGTGCCTTGCACCTCTCTGTCTAGTCCGTTCGCAACATGGACTCACGACCTATACTTATATGAATTAGAAAAATGTGCATCTACCCCTCAAAAAAAGGAAAGAAAAATGTGCATCTAACGATGGGATGGAGTCTGATTCTATGACGCAGTGAACAAATGACGTGTTCACTGAATAAATCTTTGAGCCCCAAATTGTCTAGGTGATTGCCCAATATAATCTGTACGTCCTAGTACAACACACAGACATGTTTGTTATTATTGATAATATTAAAAGCAAGTGTTATTCTTTCGTATATCGTCCCTTCCATGGTTCCATCTAATAACAGGTGGGCCTGAAGCATTCTTAGGGCCCGTTTGATAGGGCTCCAGATTCTCGCAGAAACGTTTTGGATCTAGATTCTTTAAATAAACGTTTCTGGTGATGAATCGAAATCGCTTTATGAAATCGTTTGGCTGGCAATCCGGATTCCGATTAAAAAATCATTTAAATAAAAATATGTTCAAAAAATTCTAAACTTTTTTGTGGATGGAGAACAACATAAATAAAAAACCATGTAAGTTGTTGCACTAAAAAAGAATTATCTAAAAAAATGAACCAAAAAAAGTAAGATGCAATGAGATGAGAATCTGTGCAATACTAGCCTCCAGCCGTTTTGCATGTGTACGTAGAAATGGTGAAACATTTCGGTTTCGAATCACTTGCTGAAAAAGATTGTTTGGAAGTGACTCTGGTGATTCTCATCAGAAACTGAAACGTTTCTCCCATCCAAACAAGACCTTAGTTGACCGGGACCCGTTAACACCATTGGATTTTATGATAATCTAATAATTACATTATTTTAAAAAGCCCGAAACAGATATGCAAGACTTTTTCTTTCGTTTGCGTCCCTTCCACCCAATGATATGTGGGCCGCTCAATATTCTGCCAATAATGTTGATTTTCTGATTGTCTACTGGTCCTCTATCATCAATTAGGGATGCAAGGTTGATTACCTACGAACCTGTAAATAGACTAAATTTTTGCGGGCTACCCGTAAACCCGCAAAAGTTTAGACTATTTGCAAGCCTATGGACAACCCACCTTGCATTCCTATCGCCAATCCTAAGACTTTTTCAGTTACGGGGACATTTTCTTTCTCCATTGCACATACATATATATCTTGTAGTGTATAATAATAAATAGAAATATGCTTTGTGCCTTTCTGTTGCCTGTAGGGGGTCAAAACACATGACTCATAAAAGATGATCGGCTCTGTTCTGCAGCACTATTTTAGCCGTACTTTTCAGTGAACGAATTATGTTTTTCTCTCTAAACAAATCAATATAAGCCAAATTTCAGTGAAACAGGTCTCGACAAAATTAATTGTTTTGTTGTTGCTCGTGCCGGCCACCAAGCGTGCCCATCCCGTTAACCACCAGGACCTCTGAATGAAGGAGAAAAAAAAAAGAAATGGGGAAATGAAATTCACGGGAGCAAGAGCACGGACGCGTAAAGCCAACAGTGGGGGGTGGGACCGGGCGAGCACGAGGAAACCGAGGCGACTGACCCAACCCGTGCTTGCGGCGGCGCTGCGCCTGCGCTGGTGCCAGCCACGGCCATGATCGGCGGCGGGCGGGCGGACGACAGCCAGCCGGCGTCCTGCTCGTCCTCGTCCTCGCCGTCAGGCCCCTCGACCGGGGCCCCCCGCGTTCACCGCAGCAAGAGGCGGCCCGACATCCTCAACATGCTCATGGTAACTAACGCAAGCTTTTCCTCTGTTATTCCTTTTGCGTCCCCGGCGCCGGCGCCGGCGAGCCCGGCTTGGCTGGCTGGCTGCTCCAGCCCTTGTCGGGGCGTGGACCTTTGACGGACGGGCCTGCTGTTACTGTGCGTCTTGATTGCTAATTTAGGAAAGTAGCTTTTTTGAAAACAATTTTGGATAGTACTGCTAGCTTTCAAAATCGTGGTGGGGTAAATTATCAGCGGGCTCCCAGAGAACGGTTCGTCCAGGAAACGATTTAGTTTGGATTTGATTGCTCCACAGGCGTTGGACGGGAATCAATAGTAGCCTGGTGTCTGGCGATCGATAGTTGATACACGATGCTAGTGGAAGAGGAAGAGGGTTAGATAGTTGATACAGCAAGTGGGGTTTTTGCCCAGGTGTTCAAGTAGCCAGGTAGTACTTAGCATGTCCAGGACTTCCTGCATCTGATGCAGTACTAGCAGTGAACGCTAAGCAGCTGCACGCAGGCCGTCGCACCCCAATAGGGAGAGAGCTTGGTTCAGAAAGCATTTCGTGTGGATTATTCAGTCCCAGGAGCGCTAAATTTTTGTATTTTTTATTGGTTCCAATTCTATACTTTCTGCTACCCACCAGCAGTTCTGAAGTTGAAACTTGGAATATAGCCCTTTCGGTGCTATGCATAGATAGGACGATTATGATAGGACGATTGGTAAGGGCCGTTGTGGATTTCATTTATTTATGATAGGACGATTGGATTATGATGCAGCAGCAACAACAACAACAACAAAGCCTTTAAGTCCCAAACAAGTTGGGGTAGGCTAGAGTTGAAACCCAGCAGAAGCAATCAATGTTCAGGCACGTGAATAGCTATTTTCCAAGCACTCCTATCTAATGCTAAGTCTTTGGGTATATTCCATCATTTCAAGTCTCCTTTTATTGCCTCTACCCAAGTCAACTTCGGTCTTCCTCTGCCTCTCTTCACGTTACTATCCTGTCTTAGGATTCCACTACGCACCGGTGCCTTTGGAGGTCTCCGTTGTACATGTCCAAACCATCTCAACCGGTGTTGGACAAGCTTTTCTTCAATTGGTGCTACCCCTAATCTATCACGTATATCATCGCTCCGAACTCGATCCCTTCTTGTATAACCGCAAATCCAACGCAACATATACATTTCCGCGACACTTATCTGTTGAACATGTCGTCTTTTCGTAGGCCAACATTCTGCACCATACAATATAGCCGGTCTAATCGCTGTCCTATAAAACTTGCCTTTTAGCTTATGTGGTACCCTTTTGTCACATAGGACACCAGATGCTTTGCGCCACTTCATCCACCCTGCTTTGATTCTATGGCTAACATCTTCATCAATATCCCCGTCTCTCTGTAGCATTAATCATAAATATCGAAATGTATCATTCCTAGGCACTACTTGACCTTCCAAACTAATATCTTCCTCCTCCCGAGTAGTAGTGACGATTGGATTATGATGAATGCCACGAAATGTTAGTTAGGGTTATGATGAATGGCTAAGTATGTAGAGATTAGGGCATCTATGTAGTGATGATCTCCTTGTCAAGTGTTGCCAGTTGTCTACATATGGAACTAGGGTAATGTCCACATGGCCATCTGGATTTAGCCATTTCTCCACTGTCCTTTTTCTTCAGTGTATTGATTATTGAATGAAACTTGTACTCCAGTTGTGTGCTTTCGTTTGGGCGTATCCCTTTGGTCATATCATGAACCTTTAATAAGGTGGACTGCACTAAAAGTTCTTACTATTCTGAAACTTGCAGCTCCCATTTTCCATTTTGCCCAACTATTACCAGACCTACCTTGGATGATATCTTCGATGATTTGCCTTTCCTGCCTCCTCCATCTAGCTCCTTCTCCAAAACTAGTGATGCAGCAAGCTAAGATGATCTTATTACTTTATTAGTGGCTGAACCACTGCTGGGAGGTCAGAGTAGGGGTACTGGTTGGATACGACTGGTAGGTGGAGGTTTGCCGCTGGTAGATGGTGATGAGGATATAATGATGAAGATTGTAATTTTGCAGCATGAGAGAAGTGAAGACTTGTATTGGGTGGTGGACTGGTCGGGCTATAATGGTGAAAACAGCAATTTTTCACTTTACAGCGAGGATGGTAGAGTAGTGACAGAGGGAGCCTGTGGCGGTGATAGGTGATACGTAGTGGCTACTGGCTAGCTAGAGGTGTTGGAACCAAAGCACATGTTTGGGGCTGAATTTCTGATTTCGTTAGCCTTGCCACAAAACATGGCAGGTTAGGGATACATATAGGGTACCTTGCTTGCAACTTAAGAAAGCTACAACATATTCCAACTACTAAAGTAGATGCTAAAGTAGGATAAGATAGATGATAAATGTGCTGACACAGGCACCAACTACTCTAGGTAAGCATCCTAAGTAGATAAGCACAAGACTTATAGCTATCATTCTCCCCCTAAGTCTTGTGTGGCGCCTTCTGGGGAATTTGAACCATCCCAATCCTGGCGCGAAGCTCCTGGAACTTGACCCGCTCAAGGGACTTGGTGAGAAGGTCGGCGAGCTGATCCTGGGTGTTGATGTAGCCAGCCTTGATGCTCCCCTCATCCAAGCAGCTCCTAATGAAGTGGTACTTGATTTGGATATGCTTGCTGCGCTCATGGAAGACGGGGTTCTTCGCCAAGGCCAAGGCAGACTTGCTGTCCACCCTGAGCTCCACTGCTTCTGCGTCTCTGCCCAAGAGATCGCCCAGCAGCCGAGCCAACCAGAGAGCTTGAGTCGAAGCGGTTGTGGCAGCGATGTACTCCGCCTCGCAACTGGACAGAGCCACCACTTGTTGCTTGACCGACTGCCAGCTGATCAGACACTTGCCGAGGAAGAATAGCGTCCCACTGGTGCTCTTGCTCGTGTCGATGTCGCCGGCGAGGTCGCTATCGCTGTACCCGATGAAGTGCTCTGCACTCCTCGGGTAGTGCAAGCCGTAGTCGGAGGTGCCCGCGACGTAGCGGAGGATCCTCTTGACGGCCTGCTCGTGCTCCGTTATCGGTCGCTGCATGAACCGATTGACGTAGCCAACGGCGAATGCCAGGTCCGGCCGCGTGTGGACGAGGTAGCGAAGGCTGCCCACAATGCGTCGGTACCGCGTGGCGTCGACTTCCTTCGTCGTGCTGTCGCGGCTCAGCTTCAGCCTCTCCTCCATGGGGGTGTGGGTTGGGTTGTAGCCAGTGAGCCCGCCCAACTCGACGGTGCGCTTGGTGTAGGCGGTCTGATGAAGGGAGATGCCAGAGCTGTCCTGGTGGACCTCGATCCCTAGGTAGAAGGAGAGAAGGTCCAAGTCACTCATCTGGAAGGTGGCCTTCATCTCTTCCTTGAACGCCTTCACCTCGGCCTCCTTGGTGCCGGTGATCACCAAGTTGTCGATGTAGACGCCTACCAACAGGGCATTGCCTCCCTTGCCCCGCCGGTAGACTGCAGCCTCGTGAGGACTTTGCTGGAACCCCATTTGCTTGAGGGTGGAGTCCAGCTTGGCGTTCCAAGCTCGAGGTGCCTGCCGCAAGCCGTACAGGGCCTTGCGCAGGCGAAGAACCTTGTTCTCCTTGCCGGGGATGACGAATCTCGGCGGCTGGTGGACGTAGACCTCCACCTTCATGTCACCGTTGAGGAAGGTGGACTTGACGTCCATGTGGTGCACATGCCAACCCTCCTGGGCCGCCAGCGCGAGGAGGCGAACGGACTCCATCCGCGCGACGAGCGCGAAGGCGTCGTCGAAGTCAACTCCCTCCTGTTGGACGAACCCGCGCTCCACCAGACGCGCCTTGTGCTTGATCACCGCCCCGACCTCATCCTTCTTGAGCTTGTAGACCCACTTAAGGGTGATGGCGCGGTGGCCGACAGGAAGATCCGCCAGCTCCCACGTCCGGTTCCGCTCGACCACGTCCATCTCCTGCTGCATCGCAGCGCGCCATGTCGCGTCTCCCTCCGCCTCAGCGAAGGAGCGAGGCTCGCCGTCCTCGTGCGCCAGGTGCAGCTCCGCCTCGAAGTTGTGCATCGCCAGTCCAGGGACGGGCTGATCATCGAAGATGTTGTCCAAGGTGCGGTAGCGCAGAGGCTCGTCGTCGTGGTAGGCATCGACGCGGTCCACGTCGTTGGACAGTGGAGTGGTGAACTCCACCGTGCGCTGCCCATCACGGACCGAAGCTGCTGGTGCCAATCTCGGAGATGTGGGCGTCGGTGCGGGAGAGTGAGGAGCCAGTGTAGGAGAGTAGGGTGCCGCCGGTGTAGGAGAGCGGGGCGTAGCCGGTGGTGGAGGACTCGCTGGAGCTGATGGCGAGCCGGGTGCTGAGGTGGACGAGCTCAGTGAAGATGAGCTGCTAGCTCCCCCGGCACCCTCGAAGTGGACGTAGTCGACGACGAAGTCTCTGAGGGTCGAAGTCGAGCCGTCGTCCACCGCCTTGTCCCAAGCCTAGCCTCGCCCTTCGTCGAACACGACGTCCCGGGAGATGCGGACGCGCTGTGTCGCAGGGTCGAGGATGCGGTAGGCCTTGACGCCCTCCGCGTAGCCAATGAAGACTCCTGGTGTGCTCCGGTCGTCGAGCTTGTCGACGTGGTTGAGCTCCTTGGCGAAGGCGAGACAGCTGAAGACGCGGAGGTGGCTCACCACCGGCTTGCGCCCGTGCCAGGCCTCATACGGTGTCTTGCCGTCAAGGGCCTTGGTGGGCGAGCAGTTGAGGAGATGGACGACAGTCATCACCGCCTCCCCCCCAGTAGATTGCCGGCATCCCTCTCTGTTTGAGGAGGGCGCAGGCGGTGGCCACCACCGTCTGGTTGCGGCGCTCAATGACGCCGTTCTGCTGCGGGGTGTATGGCGCGGAGAAGTGGCGCTAGATCCCCTCGTCGACGCAGTACGCCGCGAACTCAGCCGCCGTTGTCGGTGCGTAGCACCCGAAGCTTGCGGCCGCACACCTTCTCCGCAGCAGCTTGATGGCGTCCGCAGTCGCCGCCTTGGTGTCGAGGAGGACCGCCCACATGTAGCGGGACACGTCGTCGACGAGGAGCAGGAAGAAGCGCTAGCCTCCGGGTGTGGCCGGTGTCACGGGGCCGCTGAGGTCGCCGTGCATGAGCTCCAGCTTCTCCTTGGCGCGGAAGCTCGCCTGGCGGGGGAAGGGGAGCCGCCGCTGCTTGGTGAGGACGCAGGTGTCGCAGAACTGCTACACGTGCTCGACTCGTGGCATACCCTGCACCATCTCCTTGTTGTCGAGCTGCTTCAGGGCCTCGAAGTTGAGGTGCGCAAAGTGCTTGTGCCACCGCTAGGCGTCGTCGTCGCAGCGGGCTGCAAGACACACGGGCTGCACCACCTGTACGTGAAGAACGTAGAGGTGGTTGGTGCCTCTGTTCACCTTGGCGAGAATGCGACGATGGCGATCCCAGATGCGCAGGACCCCATGCTCGATCTCCACGCGCGAGCCGTTCTCATCCAGCTGTCCCAAGCTGAAGATGGAGTTCCTCAGCGCGGGGATGTAGTAGATGCCGGTGAGTAGCCGGTGCTCGTCGGTCTTGGCGGTGAAGACGACGGAGCCGACGCCCTTGATCTCCATGGCGGAGGTGTCCCCGAACTTGACGGAGCCTCGAACGCCGGAGTCGAGCTCGGAGAAGAACTCCCGCCGCCCGGTCATGTGGTGAGTGGCGCCGGTGTCGAGGTACCACCCGTCGATCTTGTCGCCGCCTGACCCGTTGCCGAGGAAGACGTGGGCCCACGGCTCGTCGAGGTGGAGAAGCGCGGCGGCGGCCGGCCCTGGAGAGGAGTGCGGCTCGATGCTCCCGTGTACGAAGAACAGAGCCGGCTCGTCACCCTCCTGCGCTTGCACGACGTGTGCCTGACCGCTGCGCTTCGCCTGCCGGCAGTCCTTGGCCTAGTGGCTGGTCCTCCCGCAGTTCTTGCAGGTGTCGTCGCGGGTAGCCTTGCGCTTGCCGTCGGCGCGCCAGGAGTGCCACCGCGCGCCTTGTCCTGCTTGCGCGGTCGACGCTTGCGGCTGCTCGACGAACCTGAAGCCGAAGAACCCGAGGCCTCCCCCTTCTTCCGCTCCCGCTGGCGGGCAAGCCACTGCTCCTCGGTGAAGAGAAGCTTGCCACTGATGGTGACCGGCTCTGAGGGACGTAGCTGCTCGCGGTTGTCGACGGCCTTGAGGCGATCCATCACCTCCTCGATCGATAGCTCGGAGAAGTCCAGCAACATCTCGATCGTGATGGCGACCTGCGAGTACTTCTTGGGGACTACGCGGAGGAACTTCTCGACAGCTCTCTCCTCGTCGATGTCGTTGTCGCCGTGCCGCGCCAACTGCTGCATCAGGGTGTTGAGGCGGAGGGCGAAGTCGTCGACGTCCTCACCCGGCTTGAAAGCCAGGTTCTCCCACTCCTGACGCAGCTTCTGAAGCGTGGACTGCGGGCGCGGGCGCTGCCGATGCGTGCCGCGGCGATGGCGTCCCAGGATTCCTTGGCGGTCCGCTTGTTCGCGAGGGAGTGCATCTCCATCGGAACAGCAGCAAGAAGCGCCTCCAGTGCCCGCCGATCCTCGTCGAAGCCGGCGTCGCCGTACCGTACCGCGTCCCACATGCGCCGCGCCTACATCACCTTCATCACCATGGACCACTCGGTGTAGTTGGTCTTGGTGAGCATGGGCCATCCGCCGCCGGCGTCCTTGACGACGGTCTGTACGACGGGAGGGGAGCCGGGCCGACCACGGCGACCTCGACGCCGGTCTGGGGAAGGGGAGGCGCATTGCCTGTGAGGGCTCCGCGCACCAGCGTCCCGTCCGCCCTGCTCGTCGTCATCCAGGTTGCGTCTGCCACGGCTGCGTGCGTCGAGGCCGCGTCCGCCGAGGTTCCGCTCGAAGTCGCGCAAGCCCCGCTTGTGCGCCGCGCGCTCCCGGGCCTGCTGGGCCTCCAGTGCACGGCCGACTCACGGATCCCGCCAGTGGTCGCGCTCGGCATCGCGTCCGTGTCCGTCGAAGTCGTCCGCGTCCGCATTGCGTGCCCGGTGGTCCCGTATCCGCTCCGCGTCGCGTCCCGCGTCCGCACTGCGCAGCTGCTCTCCGCCGAGGCCGCCTGCCGCTCCCGCGTGCAGGGCAGCGGCCTCCGCTGCCGCCACTTGAGCCGCAGCAGCCGAGACCACGGCGTCCTCGGCGGCCTGCGCTGCTGCCAGCTCGGCGGCAGCCAGCCACTGCGCCCGAGCAGCCGCGGCCGCCCGCTCCTCCGCGTCCCGCTCCTGCTGTTCCGCCGCGTCCAGCGCGGCCGCAGCAGTCAGGGACAACCTGCTCCGCCCGCTGGAGGTGGTGGAGCCATGGGAAGAGTGGGAAGAAGAACGATTGGACCGGTTGGACATGGCTGCGGATTGAGGATTGGTAAAGGGGAAAACCCCAGGTAAAGCTAGGCGCTAGATACCATTTGTTGGAACCAAAGCACATGTTTGGGGCTGAATTTCTGATTTCATTAGCCTTGCCACAAACCATGGCAGGTTGGGGATACATATAGGGTACCTTGCTTGCAACTAAAGAAAGCTACAGCATATTCCAACTACTAAAGTAGATGCTAAAGTAGGATAAGATAGATGATAAGGGTGCTGACACAGGCACCAACTACTCTAGGTAAGCATCCTAAGTAGATAAGCACAAGACTTATAGCTGTCAAGAGGAACAATAGCAAAGAGGTGAGGCGACTTTGGGCTCTGAACTGCGGACTAAGTGGAGTTTAGGCATAATTCTTTGCACGCCTTCACTAAACATGCAATGCTACTTATAATGAGCCGGACTCCCAATAAATTGTGCTAACAAACTGGAAACAGAAAAATAATCCTCCAACTGAATAGCAAACAAACCAAATGACTAACAAACTGAGGAAGGAACGGCCTGGTTCTGGCCACGCCTTGTGTTTGTGCTCTTGCTTCTTCTTCCCCCCAAAAAAGCGTTCACAACATAGGTGGCACAACCATTAGCATTTCAAATACGAATTAGAATAGTCAGTTTCATCAAGTTTTTTTGACATTGTAAACTTCATTGTATAATAACCTTTGATAATTTTGATTGAATATCCTTTTCTTTTGTTCTGTCAATGCTTTAACAAGTGCTAGTGCTTTTAAGTTTTAACTATATCTATTGTTGTAACTATTTTTTTCTTCCATTTCTATATGTACTGTAAAGAGTGCAGCATGTCTCAGTTCATCATCTTCTGATACTGGAAAAGGACAAAGCAAGTTGTCAAGCAACAAAGTAACACACGGATTTCACTTAGTGGAAGGAAGATCTGGCCATGATATGGAAGACTACCATGTAGCAGAGTATAGATATGAAAATGATCACGAACTTGGTCTTTTTGCCATTTATGATGGACATTTGGGAGATAGCGTGGCCAGTTATTTGAAAGCTAATCTTTTTGACAACATACTGAAAGAGGTAAGCTTTACATTTGTTCTATACTTTCTGTGTAAAACATGAGATGTACTCCATCTACAAATGAAGCTTCATTTTAGTGGAATCTCAATTTATGTTATTTCCTCTACAAAGATGCTCATCCAGTCCCCTTTTATGGTGTTTGCAGCCTCTATTTTGGTCAGACCCTCAAGAAGCAATTAAAAATGCATACAGCTCTACAAACAAATATATTCTGGAAAATACTAAGCAACTTGGACCAGGGGGTTCAACAGCAGTCACTGCTATTGTAGTTGATGGTACAGATATGTGGATTGCAAATATAGGTGATTCAAGAGCTGTTGTGTGTGAAAGAGGTACTGCCAGTCAGCTTACTGTTGATCACGAACCCCATACCACTAATGAACGGAAGAGGATCGAAAAACAAGGTGGTTTTGTCTCTACATTCCCCGGTAAGCATCTAGTTGCCTAACTCTCACGTCATTGTTCTATCCAATCGCCATGTAAATCGTCTCATTACATTTTCTAGTTGCTGATAGGTGATGTTCCTCGTGTAAATGGCCAACTTGCGGTTGCAAGAGCATTTGGTGATCAGAGCCTCAAGGCTCACTTGAGCTCAGAACCTGATGTTAAGCATATAAAGATAAACTCAAGCATAGAATTTGTCATACTTGCCAGTGACGGGTTATGGAAGGTATGCATTTTCCTTGCGTATTTCACTTAACGTTGTCACCTTACCTATATTGTTCAAGATTTCAATATCCAATCAGAATCATTTTCTCCTAATTATTTCTTTTCTCCTTGTTTATATTCACTCTCCTTGCTGTGTTCTCGGTGAAGGTAATGAAAAACCAAGAAGCTGTTGATCTGGTGAAGTCAACCAAGGACCCGCAAACAGCAGCGAAGCGGTTGACATCTGAGGCTCTAGGGAGGATGAGCAAGGACGATATCTCATGCATCGTCATCCGTTTTCGATGCTGACTGACTCTTATGTATTCCAGCTCATCCATTGGACCTTTTGCCTTAAGCTGCCTCTGTGCATCAGCAGTATCCGTTTTCTCCATACCTGATCTGTGTACATTGCAGTTGGTAGCGTCTGGATGTGTTGCAGCCCAGGATCAGATTGGTGATTGGACTGGACAGGTTCTTGACCAAAGAAAACAAGAATGCTGGGTGTTCATTTTTTTTCTGTGCATAAGTTAGAAGCAAATATTTACCGTCGGACCGGAGACAAGAAAAATAATATACCGCCTAAAGATGCAAAGATGGTACAGATTATGTAAGCTTATAGACATGTAGTAGCTGGATTATGGCTTTTAGTGACTCGCGTGTGTGTGGTGTGGTGAGAATTCTTGTGTGCTTATGTGCATTTAAGATACCGTTCCGTTGCCATTCACGTACGGAACCAGCGATATGCTTTGAACGGGATCAACTTCAAATAACATTTTCCTCTCCTTTATTAAATGGAGAGACTAGCGCCAGCGCCTCTGTCTGTCCGTTTTTAATAATGATACCTTAGGGCTTCTATGGATGTAGCTTCATGCTCCACGCCTGTGGCCTACCCACCGTGGATGTAGCTTTGTGCTTCGCCTCGTGATCCATGACTGTTGCCTGCCCATGCTTATAGCTTCGTGCTTCGCATCTGCTGCCACGTCCATGGATATAACTTTGTGCTCTGTGCTTGTTGCCATGCTCGCTTCGCTTCCCGCGCGCACACTTGCATCATAAAGCATTTGCTGTAATATACATCCGAAACAGATGAAACATTTACAACATATGTGTATGGGCACTTCAACATATGCAACATCCAGATAAAACACTTGCAACATACATTTGAAACAGCTGAAACATTTAAAACATACACTTGCAACATACGTGTATAGCTAGTGCAACATATGCAACATCCAGATAAAAATATTTGCAACATACGTTTGAAACACCTGAAACATTTCAAACATAAACTTGCAACGTACGTGTATAGTCATTGCAACATATGCAACACCGGATCTACTTTTGCAACATCCAGATAAAACCTATGCAACATACATCTGAAACGCATGAAACATACAGTTGCAACATATGCTCATCTACTTGCTGCCCACTAATGGACGCTCGTTGACGCGGAGCTTGACGCTGGCATGGAGCTCGATGCCACGGCGGGGAGGGTGGACCTCGGCTGTGCGTAGCACGAGTCCAGGCGGGAGGGGCGCGAGGTGCGGCGGAGCACAGCGCGAGACGCGAGGCGTAAGCGGCGCGCGGTGCGAGGCACGAGGTGCGGGTGGGGGCGCGAGGCACGCGAGGCATGAGGCGTAGGGCGCGCGAGGCATGGGGGCAGGCGGGTCGGTCCCATCTGGTCGGACGGACGCTCGGTAGAGAGCATTTCTATTTATTAAAAGAACTTTATCAGAAATAGCATTCTCCCCTCGGGTATCCAGGTGGCAACAGAAAGCTGGATAGCAGGATTGAAGGTTTCCTTTTAGGTCAAAGTTGGATGGTTTTATAGCATGCAACCACCGTCATCAGCGTCCGATGTGCCTTGAAGCTTGCTCTCTAAATTTAGCCAAGAGCTGAGCATCTCTGAGTCTTTCTAAAACTTGTTATCTAAATTATCATTTAGAGTCATTTGCATAAAACACTCTCTAACAATTTTTTTATATTCTGTGCGCACTCTAGAGAGTCATTCTCACTTTCTATCTTAATCATTTTTATTTATTTTTAATCTCTAACAGCTTTTTTATATCATGTGTGCACTCTAGAGAGTCAATCTCGCTTTCTTTTTTCGAGAACACGAAATAAAGAATGGCTGTATTTAGATATAACCAATTAAAGAAATTGTTCGAGGACATTTTTATCTCTACTCCTAATAATTAGAAAGGATATATGATGCCTCTTGAGTTACTCTAAATACATCTATTGTTGACTTATTGTTGTTAAGGGTACCAGCTCTGTTCGAGTAATGGAAATTTATATTTCCCCTCAAAAAAAAGATGCTTTAAAAATTGGTAGAATGAAGCCTATACCGCATCTGTACGTGGCGGGGGTATTCTGTTTGGCCAGAGCGTTCGGGTTTACCAGTGGATGCACAGGAGCAAATGAGAGTGGCCAAATGGGACACTTGGTCCTTGCGCATGGCTGAAATCGCAGGGATCCCGATGGACCAATGATTTCGTTCCCTCCATTTCTTCTTTAGCCAAGCCAGGATTTGGCTGTTTTAGATATTGACAAAATCTATAAAACATGAGTTAGTGTACTATTGCTAACTGTACTTATAATTAGAAAATAGTATTATACATTTATTTTAATTGAAAATCATTTCTCGAGGTGTCGAGTAATTCATATTTCTCTATGCTATACTTCCTCCAAAATACTTGATGTTCTGTGATTAAAAAATGTCCCGAAAAAATTGATGTTCTGGTTTTGGGTATTGGACATGTACTATCTCTACATGCCGCCATGCAACACACTTTGATTAGAAAACTTAACCGTGACAACCCTCCTTTTAAGAAAATCTAGAAATCCTAGAACATCAAGTTTTTTAGACAGAGGGAGTACTATTCATGACAAGTGACATGGATCAGTGGGCATATTAGAACTTCGTATGAGCCAAAGTTGGAGCACAATCTCCTGAGGCAACGTGCGGGGTGGCTCGCTCAGGGTTTGCCTTGGCCTCACCGCTGGTGGTGGCCACCACTCCCGTCCCCCTTTCCCACACCTCTCCTCAGTATGCAGCCTCTCTGCTCGAGGTGTGAAGTAGAAGCAAGGTTGGGTGTGTTGACTTGAGGTGATGTGAGGACGGGAGTTGAGGTGACGTGAGGACCCTCAGGTGGATTCAGGGTTTGGAGATGATGATTCAGTCGATGGTTCATCATTATTTACGCCTTGTTTAGATGCCATCCAAATTCTAAGTTTTTTCACTCTCTCTTTATCACATTAATTTTTAGCCGCTTGCATGGAGTATTAAATATAGGTAAAAAAATAACTAATTACACAGTTTAGTTGGAAATCACGAGATGAATCTTTTGAGCCTAGTTGGTCCACGATTGGACAATATTTGCCAAATAAGACGAAAGTGGTACTATTCATCGGGTTCACTTTTTTTTTTTAAAGTGAACGAGGCCTTACTATTTATTGCAACCCACAACCTAAATAATAGGATGGTCGGATCCTTAGATATAGGCCACTTAAAGTTCTAGGCCTTGTTTAGATTGGCTCCAAATTCCAAGTTTTTTCACCTCTCTCCATCACATCAATTTTTGGACGCATGCATGGAGCATTAAATGTAGGTAAAAAAATAACTAATTACACAGTTTGCTTGTAAATCACGAGACGGATCTTTTGAGCCTAGTTAGTCCATGATCGGACAAAGTTTATTAAATACAAACGAAACGTGCTACAGTGTCCAGATTGCAAAAATTTGAAATCTAAACAAGGCCCTAGGTGCTGACCATGGCCTGCATGCTTCTGGTCGCATGCAAAATAATGGACTTGCAGGAGTGTTGGAAATGTTCCAAGGTTACGAAGTGCTCAAAGATGACTATGGATGTGAACATCGCTAAGCTTTGTTGCTACACTTTGTTGGACGTTGTTTTCCTTGCACTACAGGAAGACCGAGCATCAGTGATAAAATGTGGTGGCGAAATCTTAATTTGTCACTGATTCCCATGTTATTAGTGACCAAACTAATTTTTATCACTATTGTGTCGATTATTAGTGGCAAACTACTATATCGCCACAGGATGCACCTTCAGTGGTGAATTTAGTGATGAAACATTAATTTGTCACTAATAAATAGGTTAATTGTGACTAAATATTTATTTCCTCACAGTTTTGCCATCTACCGGTGACAAAATATTATATCACCACACGGTTCAAGGTCAGTGAGAAAATGTTGTGGTAAAATTGTATTTTGCCACTATTTACCATCTTAATTGTGACTAAACAATCCCCCCCCCACTATTAGTACGTTAATCTGTGACAAAATTTTGCTTCGCCACATGGTAGCTGATGACTGAGAAATTTTTGTGGCAAAATATTCTTTTGTCACTTGTTACCAAGTTAATTGTGAGAAAATAAATTTTCTTGTTATATAATATTTATATTAGTGATAAAAACATGTGTTCCGTATGATAAATAATTAGTGGCAAATATTGTATTATCATGGGTCCCACTTGTCAGTCAAACTCCACCTTATCTTCTTCTTCTTTTTTGAAACAATATCTTCTTCCGTTTTCTACAGCTGCAATTCTCGGGCGGAGCATCTCCGGCCGCCCCAAACTTAGAGCTCCGCCAAGCGCCGACGAGCTCGCCCATAGTCGCCGGCCGTCGATGCCCTTGCCCATGGCTGCACCGGCTTCGCGCGTGCAGCGCTGCTTTAGCAAGCTCTCCCACGGCCGCAGCCGCCCTATCTCGACGAAAGTGTCTCCGGCCGCCCCACTCGATGCTTCGCTCCGCCGACGACAGCTCGCGCCCATGGTCTCCGCCATCCCGCTCCCACCGGATCCACCGAATCTCGCCTCGCTTTCGACGAGCTCGCCCACAGTCGCCGCCGCCAATCTCGACGAGCTCGCAAAAGGTCGGATTCGGCTGTGTCCCCTCGCCACGCCATCCATCTGCTCTGTGAGAGAGGAAGACGCCGAACCGCGCTTGCTCGCGCCGTCATCGTGGAGCCGGGTACGGTCATCTTCTTGCGGCGCCAACACGGGCAGGGATGCGGGCAGCCCGCTTAGGTGTGTGGCGGGCGGCCACGTTTGGCGGGCGGTCGTAGCTCGGGCGTGTCCGTAGTGGAGCACTGGAGCTTCAGGGCCGCCTGTGCAGCTAGCGGCTCGTGTGGCCAGGGGCCTAACACGGCGGCTCATCCGAGGTCATAGGATTGGATAGTAAGCACCGTTTCTCTCCAGTTTAGATTATTTGATCAATTCACCATATTTGCCTATTCGATTCTCTGGAGTTTGAATGTAGGCTAGACGCTGCCAAATGCCTTAGTGATGTTTCAGTGGCATTGATTGGGCACTTGAACCTTGGTCATTGCATACGGGAAATGCCTTAGTTATGTTTAGTTACATAATACTAGTATATTATGTTGTAATTCTGTAATTGAAGTACAAATTAGACCTCTATTATCTTAGGTTTTAGTGACTTTATGTACCAGTTAATTTGGTTGTGGAAACAAAAAGACACAAGTTTGTCTTGTAGGGATCCAGAACGGAAGTAAAATTAGTGAGAACGAACAAAAGCAAGCGCAAATCCGGATGGCCATAGTAATACGTGAATTGACAATTTGTGGATGAATAGCTTGTTTATAATGAATATATATCATATTACCAGGGCTTGGAAAACTGATAAGTATTAGGAAATAAAACATAGCTGAAAATGCTAGAGTGACCATGATATCCTAAATGTTTATTTGTTTGACACTACTTTGTAGTGTTTGTAAAGCAAGTGACCAAGGAGATGAAGCTGCATCTCATATATATATTCCCTTTAGAAATTTCAGCTTGATTATCAGTTATTTGCTAGTCGTTATCTATTTCTTCTTCCGATTCACTGTCTTCGTCATCTGAATCCATGTACTCACCACCTTCGCTGTCATCACTTTCAGATTCTTGTTGCTCATCTTCATCCTGAACGTCACCCTCGTAATGGAGTATCGGATTACCTTCCACAGCCACAGGCATACCTTCAGCTTCCGCTTCAACTTGAGGTGTGTCCAATATACTTGTGTCATCATCTTCTATTGTATTTGGATTCGGCACAGTTATTACTTCATTTTCTTGGCAAGCTTCAGGACTGGATTTACTTGATTTAGTAGTGGCATCTTCTTCATCAGTGGGAGGAGTGTCAAAATAATCACGAGATATAGTCTTTACCATGACATACCATTTTGGATCTTGAGTATCATTCACATAATATACTTGCTCTGCTTGCGAAGCCAAAACATATGGCTCATCTGTTGACAGCTGCGAGTAGTATTTATCATTATGAACCCATACTTATCTTCTTTAACTCCCCTTGTTGTATGTACATCCCACAATTCACATTTAAAAAGAACAACCTTATGAGTCCCATATAAAAGCTCCACAATATCTGTCAAGACACCAAAGTAATCTTTGTTTCCAGTTCCTTCATCACCCTTGACAAATACTCCACTGTTTTGTGCTTGAAATAGGGCGTCTCTGTCCCTTGTGTTAAATCTCCATCCATTGACCATATAACTTGAGAAATGTGTCACTCTAGTATCGGGTCCTCTTGCTAGATCAAACAATTCATCAGAAACAGAAGGATCTCCTTTGGAATACATAGTTGATATCTACATGAAGCACAGTAGTTAGTTAAGCTACCCTAAAGAAATAATGTAATAAATACATCCTTATACTTACATGGTTCTTGAACCACTGAAAGAACTCTTTCTCATGCCGCTTGTCTACATTTTTGGTGCTCTGTGTCCTTAAATAATATTCCTTGTGAATGCTGTGACATAGGAGAATAGATGTTACAAAATTGGAGGCCCACAGTTCAATGAACATCTTAGGAGTGGCTTACCCTGTATATGGAGAAACCTCTTCACAGTTCTTTAGAACGTAGGCTTGTGCTTTGTTCAATTCATTCATCTCCATCTCACAATATCTATTCCCAATAAGCCGTCTTCCAATTTTGGCAAAAATCTGGAGCTGTGTGTTGCTATTGTTATCACCACTGTCATCATTACGGCTTGGCCTGTTGATTCTTGTCTCAATTCCATGAAAGTACATAGAACAAAGAGTCACACATTCCTGTAACACTACAGCCTCAGCAATTGCTCCCTCTGGACGAGCTTTGTTTTTTACAAATGACTTTAGTCTGCGCAAGAATCTCTCGATGGGATACATCCATCGATATTGCACAGGACCACCTACCATTGCTTGTTGAGCTAAATGGATTGGTAGATGCATCATTACATCAAACATGGATGGAGGAAATATCTTTTCTAATTTGCAAAGAGTAATAGCAATTGAAGAATCAAGCCTTTTAAGGATCTCCACATCTAACACTTTTGAGCAAATTTCTCAAAAAAAGTTGCATAGCTCAATTATTGGAAGACAAATATCAGCCGGAAGCATGCCGCGAATAGATAGTGGAAGGTATCTATGCAGAAACACATGGTAATCATGGCACATCATCCCTGATATTTTAACACTTATTGCATCTACATAATTAGATACCTTTGCAGAATAACCATCTGGGACTTTGATTTTTGTCAAGAACTCACAAAATGCTTTCCTTTTAGGTCCAAAAAGTGTATAAGGTGCATTGTGAAATAAATTTTTCCATCATCTGTGGGAGTCGCATGAAGTTTTGGTTGTATTCCCATGATTTTACATCTCTTGTTTGATGTTTTTAATATTGTTGTTTATGAACCAGGTATCAGACAATGCGCCATTATATGGTGTTTGTTTGCATGTTCAGGAAATAGTTCAAAAGGCACCTGGTATACTAGGTGCAGTTTCACCCTTAAACCCTAATTCCTATAAGCCAAGTCGTTTCTTGGTTTCTGCACCACGTTGTTACTGTCTACTTACAAAGGTACCTTTTTTTGAGCTACACTATGAGATGCTAAACAGGTTCGTTTTCAGATCTAACATATATTTATATATTTTGATCCAAGATTTCATCAATTCAGTTCTAAGGATATGGTGGTGTGTCTATTCTATGAACAGCATTATTGCACAGGAGAGGCTTGACAGGATAACGCAGTTTGCAAGTGAAATTGCTCTGCCTGAGCCAGTTCCTCGTCCTGTGAAAGAACAAGATGGAGTACGCGGTGATTTTGATTCCTCAAATGGGATTCCATACATTGACTGGACAGAATATGCTGTACCTGTCAACAGTATATCAGGTCTCATTTCTTCATCAAGTGTTCCATACAACTCATGTCCTAAATTACAGCGCTGCATAATTGTTAATGATATATTTATGCAATTTGTAAACCAGAAAAGGAGCAACCAAAACTCTATCAACAGAGGAAAGCAAGAGATGGGGTCCAAAGTAGGAACTAGATCAATTGCTCAAATCGCTTACAATCTGGCGAGGAAAATAGTTACTAGGCAGATTTTTTTCTATTACACATCGTTCTGAATTAGTGAATATATGCTTTTGTTATTCTAATGCAGCGAGACCCAGAAACTGGTGAATGGCCTACTGCTATGCAAGTTTGGAAGGCTACATATCAAAAGGCTGATAGGACATGGTCCATTCCAACGGGTGAAGAAATAATGGTATGACCATATTACTTCCCTTTCTGATGGCATCTTTGGGTTTCACATTTGTCAATCTATATCCTACCTTTTGAAATAGGATTAGGTGGAAGTGGTGTGTTTTTTGTATGAAAAAGTATGGTAGTAGAATTATGTATGACTCTTTCATGGTTATTATCTCTGCAATGTAGTCTCTGTATTGTTCATTTAATGAGTTGAAAAGTCTAGGCACTACGAAAAGTTTGCAGTATCTCTAATCATGAACAATATCGTTTTATTAAGCTGTTTGTAAATTTCATATATTATTTAATTTGTCTGCAATTTTCAATTATTAGATAACATGTTTGTAGATTTTTTTGAACAGTAGCAACTCTGAGAACATTTGGATGTTACACTATCCTATAGCTAATTTGTGCTCATACCTATGATTCATTACATGAACGCTTTTGCCTGCTGTGTAGTATATGAGTTCTTAATTAGTTTGTTTTTCATGCTTTGCAGACCAAACTACATGAAGCTGCTGGGATACATCAAGAAAAGATTTCTTCTGCTCCCGTGCCAATAGTGGAGCACTTCGCACTAGTTCTTGGTCGAAAGCCAAACCATTCACGTGGTGTTGGCATTCGTGCTGTAAACCAAGTGGCTGAGGAAAGAATCAGATTGCATGTGCAAATTGAGGCTTCAGAACAGCGTGAAGCTGCAGCTCGAGCACGTGCAGACGCTGCTGAGCAACGTGCTGAGGCTGCTGAGCAACGAGCACAAGCTTTGGAAGGCCAAGTTTCCACGGTGGTCGAAACAAATGCACAACTGCAAGAAGAGCAGCAATCCCAACATGATGAGATGAGTTCTTTGCGTCAAGCACAGAGTGGAGAAGTTGCTTGCCTAGTGAGAGAACAACTCGATCATCAAATGGCTGCATTAATTGCACGCATTGGTGCCTCACAGCCTCCAGCATCTTAGAGTTTAAACACTTTAGTTGAATAATTATTGTGAGACTTTAAAGTAGTGTGAAGAGAGTTATTTTGAGGTTTGAGTGTTCTTAGTTTTATGTAATGCTTCAATGCCAAATTTGAATTATTGAAATAAATATTATTGGTGCAGATTTGAAATAATCATATTGCTATAATGTACATTTGTTGAGCTATTTTTGTCACTACAACAAGGATAATAATGATAACTTGGTCGCCACAACATCTAATGTGTTTCACACAATTGAAACTTATCTTGTGACAAAACTTGTCCAGACTAATATTTTCCTACAAATGCTATGCTTTTTTGTGATGAAACTATTGATACATTTTGTCTTGTCAGTTCTCACAAAAAGATAATTTTTTGTGACAAAGGTTTGCCACCGTAGTTTACATGTGAGGATTAGTTTGCATCACAAATGAAAAGTATTTATGTTAACAAGTTACCACTTTTCCCCATACATATTGTGGTAAACAATTAGACACAATTATAATTTAATAGTGAGAACAAGCATCGACACGACAAACTCAAGTAATGGCGAAACTTCTATCACTAATATGTAGTCTTTAGTGACCACAAAATTTGTCACTTTTACAATAGTAATTGTGACAATTATGTTGCCATAGATTCTGTATAGTTGTGGCAACTATTATCACCACTAAAAACATTATGAGTGGCATCATTTTTTTGCCACTAATGCATATGTTTTTGTGACAACGAATGAGCCACAAATGGTCCCGTTACTAGTGGCAGTACAATTTGTCACTAATGAGTATGGTCATTTGTGGGGAACAAAAATTCATCACTAGAGTATCTGTGAGGCGAGTATTTGTGGCGACTAGTGGCTATTTAAAAATTCGCCACAAAGGCTGGTTTGTGGCGAAAAAACAAGCTTTTGTGATGAAAATTTTCGCCACAAAAACCCTTTGCCCTTGTGGTGTTGCTCTTGGATTTATCTCCATGGATCTGATCTCGTAGTTTGTAGTATGCCATTATTCAATTGTACTTGAACTTATGTAATAAAATGATTTGTAACACTACGTATGGATATGAAGTAGGTTGAAAATGAGAATGCGCTTGATAGATTTCATTCTTGGTACAAATGTACAGATGTTAGAATTTCTATTTAGGAAATCATGGTCCGTTTCAGGAGTGTCCACTTGGGCAAAGCTCATATTGAATGGATGAGACGGGCGCCTCTAGTCCACTCCATAAGACGAACCAGGAAAGCAAGTTCTGCAGACAACCTAGAGAAAAGAAGAGGGACAAACTAGTGGGTTATGAGTGATAGGTTTTGCTCCGGTGTATTCCTCGTGACCACCGGAGCAAAACTCATTTAAATAAGATCTTTCATATGACTTTTTCTTTATGGTATATTCCTCGTGATGAATCTTGATTTGTGGTAGCCATGTATGTATCCTTCCAACCTGATCCTATATTTGCACTAGTAGAGTGCATGAAGTGCATCTGTGAGGATTACCAGGCTAATCAGCTTAAGCTAGGTTAGTCGAGAGGACGACACTCAATTTATGTTGTGCATACAGTTTGTTGCATCGGAGTTTGGACAGAAGGTGGCCTGTCATTGTTGTCCTGCAACGAATGGAGCGATGACGAGGCATTAGAAGCTTGATTGGACGTCATTTTCATCCCAGGACAGATGGATTGGATTCTAATGCGGCGGCTATGAGTAGAATGGGTAGATAATTGAGCACTTGATGGCATGACCAGCTATCTGACCGGACGTCTCGTGTAGTTAATATATATATATATATATATATATATATATATATATATATATATATATACACACACACACACTCCATCTCCATAATTGCATATACTACTCTCTTTTCTATTGCAAAAACTTACTCCCTCTGTTATAGATCAATTCTTAAAGTTGTTAAGTCAAAGCTTTTTTTAAAGTTTAATCAAACTTGTAGAAAAGATCTTTAAGATTTATGAGACCAAATTAGTTGCATTAGATACACCAATAAACTATATTTTCATAATGTGCATTTTATGTCACAAATATTTATATTTTTTCTATAAATTAGGTCAATATAAAAAGTTTGACTTAAGACAACTCTAGAAATTAATTTATCCAGGAATGAAAAGAGTATTGCAGAACATAGATGAGTGTCATGTAAACAAATCCGCCCTTTTTATAATAACTTTCAAGATCTCCTTAAAACAACTCTCTAATTTAATTTTTTTAAAGAGAGAAATAGAAAAAATAGCGCTCCAATGGTAAACTCTCTGAAGATAAGTACTTGGTAAATCCCTCCCTCAATACATACATAAATATATATGCGTGTTTTCTGCAGTTGCTATCCCTCGGAACAATCCCTCCACATGGTCTTCACTCAATCCCCCTCCCATCTTCCCTCCTACCATCCGGTTATCGAGTTTTATTGAACTATTGAAAAATGAGAGCTCTATATTTATTTTTTATTCATTTAGCACAATTATTGGTTTACCAAGTAATTCTTAAGGATCTTTTGGAGATGCTCTAACAATATTTGTGTCCTGAAAACAACCTCTAGTTCGTTTGTTTTGTAAAACAAAAAAAAACTCCAACAGCTTTGTATCCAAAATCACTAAAGATAAGACCTTAGAAAGCTCCATCTCGAATCATAATAAATACACATGTGCATTTCGCGCTTGCTATCCGTTTGGACGTCTCCTTCGCTACGGTTTTCGATAATGCTTCTGTGAGGGCGCCCGTCCGGGTGTGTCCGCGTCGGACGCGCCGATCGACCCAACATCAATGTGCGCCCGAACCTGTCTAACTCGTGTGTCTCTGTTGCCTTCTTGTTCTCGATTACACGCATCTCTGCCGATCAATCTACCTTCGTGGGATACCCCTCGGAGGACTGCCGACGATATTCTGTCAACACTACCCAACTCGCCTCACTCGCTCACTCCCGCACCCACACACATAGTCCCTCGCTTCCTTCTCCCTTCTACGGCTCGCGTCCCGCGCGCTACCCCGACGCGCGGCCATGGCCGCCTCCCTGGCCCACGACGGCGCACTCCCCACCCCGGCGTCCTCCTCTCCACCCCGGTGGCCTTCTTCCCTACCCTGGCAGCCCCTTTCCCCACCCTAGCACTCGATGTGGAAGCGGTGGCCGCACCACGGCAGCGCGCGGGCCATCTGAAAGCCTTAGTTTGGTTTTGGTTAATTGATGAAACCTATTTGGACCAATCCTATGCTCTAAGTATGGATTTGAGATAGGTTGGTCCAATCCAAGTGATGGAGCTAGGTGGCACTCATGGATTGAGATGGCCACATGAATGATGATCATGATGATGGTGGAGGCCATGGTGATGATCAAGTGCTCAAAGCTTAGAAAAGAAGAAAGAGAAAAGAAAAAAGGCTCAAAGCAAAGGTATATTTGATAGGAGCCTTTTGTTTTGGCACTCAAGACACCAAGTGGTGTGAGTGCCTTTAGGATAGATAGCCGTACTATTAAGAGGGGTGAAACTCATCATGAAATGCGGTTATCAAAGTGTCACTAGATGTTCTAATTCATTGCATATACATTTAGATTCTAGTGAGTGCTAACACCCTTGAAAACATTTGTGAAAAGTTGCTAACACATGTGTGCAAGGTGATACAATTGGTGGTTAGCACATTTGAGCAAGGGTGAAGAAGTTGGAGTCCAGGAGACAAAACTTTCTGTGACCGGACTCTGGCCTTGGGGTGACTGGACTCTCCCTAGGCGTGTCCGGTCAGTAGAGCAGAGAAGAGCGAGCTCTCGGTCTTCGACCGGACCCTACGGAGGTGAAGGACCGGACGTGCAGGGCCTGCGTCTGATTGGTGCTGACGTGTGCTGACGCAGGCTGTTGTGCGAGCGCAGAGAGGACCGGACCCAGGGATGCATCCGGTCACGCTTGAACGGACGCATTCGGTCACAAAAACCCTCTCTGGGTGCTTACTGGAATTGACCAGACTCCACGTTGTGGAGCGTCCGATCGTTCCTTCGGTGAGTCCAGTCTTTGCTAACTAGCTGCACGGGCGCACGTGACCGGACTCCGTGCTGGTGCATCCGGTCAGCGTCTGGTGCATTCGGTCATGACTTCATACGTTGGCGCGATCGTTTTGTCCATTAGAATCGAACACGCGAGGTTGAATGCATGGGACACGTGGCAGCGGATGTGCGACCGGCGCATCCGATCAGCACACAGAGCTGCCCCTCGTGTGCCCAATGGCTCTATTCATTTGGGAGCTCTATAAATACATCTTGACCGGCTTGGGCTCACTCTCTTGGCCATTTCTATTGAGAATACACCCTAGTGAGCCTAACCATTCCTCTCTCACTCATCTTGCTTGATTGATTCATCATTTGGTGAGATTGGAGAGCATCCAAGTGCATTGCTTTGAGTGATTGCATCTAGAGGCACTTGGTGATTGTGTTTCGCTGTGGGATTCGCTTGTTACTCTTGGTGGTTGCCGCCACCTAGATGGCTTGGTGCAGCGAGGGTCATCGAGTGGAGGAAGGTGCTTGTCTCTGGCTCCGATCACGGTGATTGTGAGAGATTCTTGAGCCTTCCCCATGGGAGATCACGAAAGGCACCTTTTGTGGATTACTCATGGCTTATGGATCCTCATCGTGTGTTGGTTGTGTGGCACCCGATTGTGGGTTAGGCGTGTGATGCCTATTAGCGCGTGAACCTCTAAGTGAGTGAATCACCACAACGGGGACTAGCTTGCTGGCAAGCAAGTGAACCTCGGTGAAAAATCATTGTATCATCCTGTTTTTGAGGATTTTATCGGTATTCATTGTGATTGATTGATTGTCACTTGCCATGGCGGTATAACCCTCACTATCTCTCTTGTATTTACATTCTAGTGTAGCTAAGCTCTTTAGTGTAACTAGTTTGGAGAGCTAGCTTGTGTTTTGTTAGTTTGGTTAGTGAGGCTCTTTAGTTAGTCTTTGAGAGCTCACTAACTTATAGAGTAGTGACTTAGCCTTTGTGTGACCTAGAGA